GGGGCTGGGGACTTGGGGCTTCTGCCCTGCAGGGTGCTGAGGCTCTGAGAAGGGGAGGAAAGGGGGCTCAGGCTTCCATCCCACAGGGCTGGGGCTCAGGGATTTAGTCCCACAGGAGCAACAGGGTGCCTGGCTTCAGCCCTGCAGTTCCGCTCCTAGTTTCAGCCCTGCGAGAGGGCTTCAGCCAGTTCAACTCCTGGTTTCTGCCCCATGGAGGTGCCTGGACTTGGGGTGCTGGGTTTCAGCCCCATGGGGGCACTAGGTTCAAGGCTTTAGTCCTGTGGGGAGCATTGGGGTGCCAGGCTTCAGCCATGGGGCCCTGCCACTCCCTGAAACTGGCTTGTGGCCCCTTGAGGGGCTGTGGACCTCTGGTGGAGAACCGCTGGTCTAGAAGGAGATACTAGGGCAAACACTCCTCTCAGGTGGCTTGATCTGGATATATACTGATGTAACCCATCTCATATTTTGATCCACCCAAGATATAAGACCACAGTTTGCAGAGCAGATGTTTGGGTTCTGCCTCGTTGCACTGCAGTTGATGCACAAAGTTAATTACTTATTAAAAAGTGATCCCAAGGGAATTTGCAGTTGATTTTCAAAAGCAGTGAATGATCCATTTTTGTATGTCACATTGATTAAAATGCAACATAGATGTGTCCATCTTAATTTATTTACCTTTTAAATGTACCAGCCCAGGCTTGCAAGGTGCTAAGCATGCTCAAATCTCTCATCACTTTCCCCATATTTGGGAAGGAAAATGCTTCTAGGCAGCCACTCTTCATATTCACATTTTAGCTCCCAGATCCCCAAATAAATATCAATGTTAGCATCTGGGCACAGCTGTGGTATCTGTGACAGTGTGTATGTGGGGAATGGGGGTGTACAAGAGAAAGTGCCAAATAGCAACTTCTTCAGTGGGTCATTTTTTACCAGGCTACTTTGCTGCCTGGAGTTAATGGCTATTGGTTTGTTTAGCGTTGGTCACAGTCCTTAAAATTCTGGGCAATCTCTGGTTGAGAGATTTCCCTCTCATGGCAGGTAAAATTAGATAGCTGATGATTGCTGTTTGTTCCTGGGGATAAGTACCTCAGAAGGTCACTAGGGCTGCCCCCCTTGAAGGTTCCCACCTCTGGAAATCACTCCTCTTGATGATCTGCTGATCCTAAGTCTAACAAACTTCAGTGCATGCTGCACAGTGCTTACTTTTGATCTGATATTGATTGCTGTTATTTCGTGACACAAGATGGTGGGTCACAGTGGTAACAATGCTCACTGTGGACGGTGATGTGTGATGCACGGCTATTTAACTGTGGAAAATAAGCACCTAGCTCCTATGGCTACAGAAGCTATACAAAATCTGCTAGTTGACAGCCCTAGAATCTGAAGCCTAGAGCCTGCACAGGGGAATGCACACTGAGACTACTAACAAGGGCATCACTTAGGGCCCAACCTAGCTCCCACCAGGAGTCTCTCCCTTCAGTGGGATCTACAATGGGTCATTAATGACAATTGTTTTTTGCGATGGGGACACCTATCTGCACAGACCTCACACCTGCCAGGTTACTCTGGGCCAAGGCACGAAAAGAGTTACTGCAATTGGCCTGAAGTCTATTTACCTTTCAGCAGTATTAAAAAATAAACAAAGCAAGAAAAACCCCAACAAGTTGAGTTTTCTTCCCCATACTAGTTCTGCAGATAGTATGTTTCATGACATCCTATATTACCAATGTATCACCTGTCAGTGTGATTAATCTCCACTTGTTCTTCTCAATTACAGCCTGGCCTGTTGACAATATGGGAGGGGCCAGAGAGGTTTCAGTCAAAAGAAAAACATGTTATAGTAGCATGTGCAGACTTTGACCCTCAGACAACCAAAAAAAAATGTACATCTGTATTGAAGCTGGATGGAACCTTTATTAATAATGTTTACCAAGTACTAAAAATCAGACAAGGTGATCCAGCCCTGGAGGAAGGACAATGCAGTTCTAGGACATGATTCAGCCCAGGAAATCAAACAGCACACTCCTGCGTTTGCAGGGACATCCGTACCAGTGTCAGCACTGCCCTCTGTCAAGGGTTCTGCCGGGGGGGGGGGGGGGGGCAGGTGTGCGCACGCGTGCAGATTTAAACTCTGCCTGGGCTCTTTGCAGGAACTCTGCTGATTGAGGCTGCTCAGAAGATGAACTGTTCAGTGCTTCTCACAGGTGCTCTGGCCACATCCCTACCTGGCTTTCTGGGATTTGCCAGCTGGCTTCAGGCTCCTGCTACAGTGAGTAGCATCTGCTACTGTGAACTCCCTTCTGCTGATGGGGGCCTGCAGCCTGGTGTCAGAGCCCACAGAATGAGCCAAGACTAGAATCTTTTGTAGCAGAAAGAAGATGGCATTGCATTTATGATTAATCTGTTTTACTGAAGTTTCACAGGATATATAAAAGCCAAGTGAATATCAATAAAGGGCAGCAAAGGAAGCAGTGATGCTCTCATACAGGATATAGAAACTTCATATAAAAACAGATTTAAAAATACAAAAATCCTAGTCTAACTGCAAGTGCTAAAATTATTAAGCTATGAGCCTGACTTCAGTCACAGGCATGATATCTGACAAAAGGAGGAGGAAATACTTTGGGTGGCAACTGGAGAAGAAATGATGGTGCAATAATCAGCATGGGTGTGTGAAACAAAAACCTGAGCAAAGTAGATGGCTCGGGGCAATCTGCTCTTTAGCAAGGTGTAGGACATAGTAAAGAAAACTCACTGAGAGACTGGAGGTGCAGTCTTTGGTTATTAGTACCATATGGTAAAGAATTATTGGAGTACAGCATATGGAAGCTACAAAGCAAACATTTAAATTACTCCCTCCTTCCATTCTCCCAAAAGAATCAACCATGATTATCCAGATGAAACCAGGACATCTGGCAACTAATGACTCACCTGCACAATACAGTAAATATTGTATATTAGAGATAGATCCCAAACTGAAGCCCCAAACCTTGGAATGTTCAGAATCTGCATCTCAACTTCAAGGCCCTAGAAAGTGCAAAGCCAAAATTCTAGATCTCTTCAACCTTGGGGATGGGTGCCAAAATCTGGCAGGGATTTTGTGGTCATGTCCTCCCATAGTATATTTATTAACTTCAGTAATCAGTGTTATTTGCTGGTCTTGCCTGAGAATGTAAGAATATATGTTAGCCCATAGAATATACCTTGTTTAGCAGCTAATACATGAAAGCACAGTAGAGCTTTTTTCTTTCCAATCTCGTCAAACTAGTGCTTCTCTGGGTGCAGTTCTAATCACCACACCCAGAAAATTGATAATCTTTGTGAAACATCTTCTAATCTTACTTTATATCCATCTTCCCTGCTGAGATTAAAAGAGTATCAGCAATTAAAGAGCTATCCTCACCTGCATTCTGATTGTTCCAATATCATCCTGAGCTGTTGTGCACAATGGCATTGTTCTGAACTACTTTCCAGAGACAATCCAAAGCCCAGTGAAGTCAATGGAAGTTGTTCCATAGGTTCAATGGGCCCTTTGGATCAAATCATGAGAAAATAAAAGGGTCTCCAAGGGAAACCGTAGCAAAGTCACCATTAAGATTTCTTGGGCCAAATTCTTCTCTTTTACAATCACCCTAATGGCTTCAGTTATACCAATGCAACATCAGTGGAGTTGCATCGGTATCACAAAGAAGAATTAGATGCTTGTCTCCTCCCAGTTGTTTTTAGCACACAGGTGTTAGCACCAACACAGAGCAGCTTGTGTGTATGAAATCACACATTGCTGCATCAAGTTTGTGATCAAAAAGGTAATTATTGTGACCACTTAGGTCTGATCCTGCCATGGGATCCATGCATGGCGATCTTATTGCAGAATTGAAGCCTAAATTAGCATCTTATTTGAAGCCTCTCAGAAATCAAATTCTGTACTGGATTGTTAAAGTGTTTTACTGAAACTACCTTGACACATCATTATAGCTCCCTTCTCCCACAGCTACATTTTAGTTGGGGTCTCTGGATCAGTGATGGGTACTCCTCCAAATGTCTGGCTTAGTGCAATTTGTCAAGACATGCTTTAAAATGGGAAAGCTACTTGCACTCTTTAGGTTCAATTTATGTTTCTGTGCACAGTTATTACTAACAACGGGGCTACTTACAGGACTAAGGATGACTTTTGACGAAAGGATCAGGCCTCAAAGCATCAAATAATGACAGAATGGGAGTGAACAGTGATATGCCATTTTATCTGGCCTCTTATGGGAACCCCATCTGCCGCTTATTTTAATTTTCATGGGCACAAGAATGATCATAAGAAAAATATTTGTTTTACATAAACTATTAATATACGGCATTTATAGAACCATAAGAAGTCAGCAAGGGCCAGCTTTTTAAACATCTGTAGGTGCCTAAAGATGCAGATCGGTGCCTAGTGGGATTTTCAAACTCTAAGCAGGTGAGGTGCCTAACTCCCATTGATTTTAATATGATTTAGGCATCTAATCTACATAGGCACTTTCGTAAAGCTTAAATGTCTTTAAAACGCTGACCCGAAGCTGAATATTGGGATGCAAACGGATCTCTCAGGAATATTAGTGCACTTATTTTTGGTTCACTCAACCCTAGCATCCCATCCCCAATGCACTCTTAGCTCAACACAGCACAGGCTCTTGCATCTCATTACCTCAGTGAGCCTAGCTATGTTATTTAGAGATAAATTTGAATTCCATTGTTCTGAAAAATCCTAAGGGAAAAAAAAAGTCTGGATTTTGCACCATTGTTAACGTGATCGTTAATTCCTCCGTAGTGGCAATTTAAGATGATCAGAGAAAATGTTTAGGTAGCTGGATCTTATTGCATAAACCTCTTTCAATCTATTTAGAGGTTTCTAGAAGTAAAATGTAGTAGTGCAACTAAATATATGCTGAAAATTCAGGTGTGAGAATGGGCTGAAGCAGTAATGCTCATTATTCAGTCGCCGGAGGGTAGATTTTGAATTAAAATATGTTTGTTGATTAAATGAGCCCCCACCCTCAAACAAATCAGTACCACTGAGTTCATTCAGGCTTTGTGCACGGTTCTGTTTGCCATTCATATGGAGATGGCCCAAGGAACGAAGGACTCCGGTTCATCTTTCGCACTCTAGGAGAATGAATAAGAGGGGAAAGAAGTGATTCTGTTAATGGTATTCACTTAGAAAGAAGTCACTACAGCTATTCATAAAAACTACTCTGCATATTTCAGTGCCTCTCACAGGTGGCCCCTACTAGATCTTCTACAGCTTCCATTAATTATGGATCAAACAAGGTCTACTGGGTAGGGCATTCTACAGAAGGCAGGCAAACCCATACAAGTGGTGCTGGTAGGTCCCAAAGCAGCATGGAAGAATAGGGTCTGTGTCAATTGGCCCTCACCTATGGCAAAGCTCCCGAGATGTTCATTGACATTAGTAGACTGACAAATCTGGGGGCTGATCTGCCCTGCAATTCTGGTGCCCTGCCACTGCTTAGGGAAATACTAGGCAAGAACGCTGAGTGGGAACTCAGTCTCCATCTTCCACATGGAGAAAATCTGGCCCACTAGTATTTCAATAGTAGCACAGATGTGCATGGCATTTCACAGTAATGTAGATGTCAAGGATTCTGCATCAAAGAGCTTATGATTTAAATTAGACAATGGTGGGGGTGGGTATAATGATAGCAGACAATGGGGGGGGAAACAGGAGGAAGGAGAGTTGCAATGACAATGGAATCATGTGATTGGTCTTTCCTTTGGATCTTTGTTAGCTCCGAGTAGATTGATTTTCTTTATTTTATATTTCATATTGGGGCAGGAGAGCATGAGTTGCTAGTGCCATAGTGTAAGTAAGTGATGGAAACCAACTGGAAAGGGTGAGCATTTGAAGAGAGAGTGAGGTCACTTGGGGACTAAGTCAACACCCATTGAAGTGAATCAATGGGAGTCTTTCCACTGACTCCAAAGAGCACTGGAGTAGGCTCTTGGTGCAGAGGAAAAGAGAGGCTGTTCCAGGAATGGAGGGACTCAAAAACCAGACAGAGGTGTGAGTGCGAGGAAACAAAAAGCAAGCAGCAAGGACAGAGGAGCAGGCAGAGATGAGCGCGTACTGCAGGTGGGAGGGTGTGGGCAGGAGGAACTGAGAAAAAGAAAAATTTGAATTATTAAAAAGGCAAACCCTGAATGCCATAGACTGGAATGGCTGGCATGGGCTGGGTCTGTTGATAGACCTTTTAATTCAAGAATCATTAAAAAGTCTGAACTGAGGAGTTCTGCTGTGTATACACCATATCCAGGTGTAAACACTGTTTAAAACTACAAAAATATGGGCCTTCAATGCCAAAAGAAACAGGCTGCAGCTACAAAGGCGTGTTCCAAAAGAAAAGCCTCATTACCATCTCAGTAAACTGATCGGCACAGACCATTCGAATCCGCTCAGGAGTCAGGGGGCTGTTCAGTGTGAAGGTCCTGGTTAATCCTCTTTCCTTCCGTACAGCGGCCACTGCATCCCAGATAGCGAAGAACACAGAACATCCCAGGAACAGCCCTGCCTCGCCCATCCCCTGACAGGGAACAAAGGCAGATACATACATTTACTTTATGAACTAATTAAAAGAGGAAGTGTCTTATTAATATTTGAGATGGTGAAAACCTTTTACAAACTACTGATTTACATAGGGCCTGATCCTCTACCATGGGGGAGAATGAAAGTTTTCCACTGATTCAATGGAAGCAGGATCAGAGCATACTGTGTACGTCTACAGTGCACTGGAAACCTGGGCTCAGACTTGGGTTTGAGCCCAACTCCCCCAACCACCCACCCACAAATCTGTAGGATTCAGGTTAGCAAGTATTCAGGACCCAGGCCCTAGGACCCTAATGGTGGTGTGTGTGTGGTGGTGGGGGGTGTCAGAGTCCGAGTCCCACTGAGACTCAGATCCAAGCCCTTTTATTTTGCAGTAGGACAGAGCTGAAGCTGCAGATCCAAGTCAGAATGCCTGCATAGTGCTGTATGGACATGTTGGCGTGGCTGTGAGACCCGGGTCCAGCAACTGTAAACCCAGGTTTACAATGCAGTGTGGATGCTCAAGTGTGCGGCTTGGAAAACCTGAGTGCATAAGCCCAGATTCCCCAGAACTGGGTTTACAATGCAGGTTTTCAGCTGCTGGCTGACTGCAGATATCTGCAAGGGTGGGTTTCAAATGCCAGCTATAAATTTTAGGACACTTGATTTCCTCACTTGTGAAGGATTTCAAACTGAAAAGAAAATCAATTTGGTAAAAAAATGTTGGCAGATAAAACTGAAATGAATCATCTCCAGGGATTCATATCCTATTAACAAACTAGAGCTGAGACCAAACCCCGCATGTGAACAGTGCTGAATGCCCTCCTCAATCTGATCCAGATGCAAGTTTCACAGTTGGCCTTATTTCTATCACAGGTCAAATCCAGTCCCTAGATCTGGATGTTCCTAAATGCTAGGAGTTTGGGCATCTTCATCAGGACTGAGATCTGGATTTCTCAGCTGGCCATTATTGTATCTCTAACCAGCCTTTCTAAAACTCAAGCTCCAAAACACTCCTGAAACACTGGTCTGGATTGGCATTTTGCAGCTTTAGCCCACCTCTATAAGAAATGGACAACCAGACTTCAGGATTGAAAAATGCTTACTTTTCAGGGAAAGGTATCACAAGCATGTTTTATTCACTAATGATAGTTTTAAAATTAGCTCTACGAGTTGTATGCATGAAGTGGGATAAACAGATTTTGTACGCTCACTTTGAAGCCTGGTGCTAAAAGCCGCTCTTTAGATCAACTCCACCCTGGGTAATTTCATTTTGATCTGGAATTTTCTTTCAATGATCATTTTTCAAAATATTTCATTGGGACTATTTGAAAATAATTTTTAGAAGGAACTATTGTTCTACAATATCCTTCTGCTTTAAATGTCATTTTTTTTATTCTGAAGCTTTTATTTGATTGACTACATTACATCCCTAATGGCCTAGGCAACTGAAGACATGATGCTCAATACACTTGAATTGGGCAGTATCCCCTACATCTTGCTTAGTGTTATTGCTTGTGTATATTCAAGGGCTAGGCCCCTAGCTGGTGTAAACTGATCCTCAGCTGGTGTAAGTCAGTGTATTTATTGCTAGCAAAAAAAGGTAGCTAAGGAGCCTATACTGACTAACTGAACTAACTAGTAATATTGTGTCTAATTTTAGTCACTTTCTCTTATGTTTCAGACTGTTACTATACTCTAAAGTCATGGCTTTAAATTTAGCTTGAATCTGTGAGGATGTTTATACTAGAAGTTCCTAGTCCGCTTGTTAAACTCTAAAAATCATCAATAGGCAGCCAGGATGGAAGAGTAAAAATATCCCAGATTGTGTTATTTACAAATACGGTAGAAGCTGCAATGATGTGGAGATCTGTTTAAAATGTAAAACAGAAGCCTGAGTCTCCTTTCACTTACAGGGGTTTTATACCCGCATACCTTCTTTGACTTCAATGGAATTACTCCTGATTTACTCTAGCACAGGTGATAGAGAAATCAAGCCCCAGGTTTCACTTGCTTACCTTGGATGAGTAGATGGCATAAGGATTTTGTGAGGATGACAGCAAGGAAACACTGAACTGTTCTGGGATGTCACAGATTGCAGGGATTTTATACTGATCCGGGCCCCGAGTGTACAAGACGCCTTCTGGGGAGTATTTTAACTCCTCCATTGTATAAAGTCCAATGCCTTGAACAAAGGCACCTTCAATCTGAGAGTGAGAAATTATAAGCACTTTATCTTTTCTTATGCTGTAAAATGTATATAACATTGACAATAATTACACTCTCTGGACAGCATTCTCCTTCCTATTAGACTGTTGGGTTTCAGGGCTTTCCTTTGGAGCTGCTGGGAAGCAGAAAGCTCTCTCCACCTGCACTGCCTAAGTCCAGTCTACATCTACACGAGAAGATAGGGGTGTGATTCGTAGATTGTGTGTACACACAGGCACACAATCTCGAGGCGCGCCAGCACAAGTATAAACAGGAGTATAGCACAGGTAGCAGCAGTGGCGACACTGAGTATGTACCCACAGGGCGGGTTCAGGCAGGTTTCTACTTGGCACGGCTAAGAGGTGCTGCTGCTACCTGTGTGACCACAGCTACGCTACTATATACACTTGTGCTGTCATTGAGCTAGTGTGAAGGTGTGTACACAAGCTGGGATTCACACTCTGAGCTCATAGTGTGGACACTGCCACACGAAGAAATGCCAATCAGAGGGGCTGAAGCAATGGATCAGGGGGTACAGTGGGGAGAAGCATTCACATGCTATGAGGAAGGGGGCCTGGTCATAAAGTGGAGGAGAGCTTGGAGACTTGGGTCTAGCCCAGCTGTGTGAAACTATACAGGTGATGAGCACAGTGGTGCAGGTGGGCAGTACCGCAAGGGGACACTAGGTAAAATCCTGGACCCACTGAAGTCAATGGGAGTTTTGCTATTGACTCCATTGGAATCAGGATTTATCATCTATAACATGGGCTGATAAGAGGTTAATGGTAGATGAATGAATGGACACTCGTTAACACAAACGCAACAGCAACTAGCACAACGTGAAAAGAAGAAGAAATTCTTGGCACATACCTGTCCTATATCCACAGCTGGATTTATGCTGCATCCAGTATCCATAACAATGTTTGTTCGGATGTTCTACCAACAAAACACAAACATACATTGTGGGGACAGATATACAGGTGGATGGATGAGGAAGTGCTACAGGTCAGAGGCTTAATCCAGTGGGACAAGACATGTTTGTATAGAATCTCTTTCAGAACATACAAAACTGACCTTTTACTGGAGGAAGGGCTGTACAGTAATAACACTCATTAACCTTAGTAGGAGTTTAGCCAGTACGAGGACTGCAGGCTTTAACTCACTGTATTTAATGCTTCCAGTGGGACTTCTCATAGGAGTACACACTATGTCCGGTGGGACGTGTTGCTGGAGTGGGCCCTTAAAATGTCAGGAGACTAGGCCAGGTGGGGCAACCGGCTGGTCAGGAGATTAGAAATTTAATACAGAGCTACAAAACAATTTGGCAGACTGCAGGCACCAAGAGAAAAGGCAAATACTGCCTGCAACACTGTCTATTATAATATTTTCACAAATCTAGCAAAAATAAGATTGTATTTAGTTACTTGTGCACTTTTTTCATTGTGCTCTAACTGTAATTGCTAGTTATTTACATCAATTGGTACATGTACGTTAGTACAAAGCCAGGTGATTTACCAATGCACAAGTTATATGATTGTTGGGATATCAGGCAAAATGGGAAGTTCTGGTGGAACCTCACTGTACTATTTATGAGCTTTAGTGACATTCACTAGTTACCTTGTGATCGCCTGTAAGACAGTCAATTTCAACCTCCGAACAAGCAGCTCCGAAAATAAAATACTTAAATGGATGGCCTTCCCCTTTCTCCCAATCCATGTTAGCCTCATAGCCTCTGGGGGAAACAATACAGTCCATGGGAAGCATGGCTTTTAGTCAATTTTATTAATCTTTGTGTTACAACAATAAAGTGACAGAGCAAAGAAGAGTTCAAAACTATGTGAAATTAAACCCAAAATACTGGGACAGATACCCTGCTGGTTTAGCTCCATTAAAGTCAATTAAATTCTGGCCACAAATATGATAAACTGCTCCAATCTAAAAATTCTGATAAGCAACCAAATCCCAGCAGATTTCTGACAGAGATTGTAATGTAAATCATGTATAAAAGACAAGTTTACAGTAACAATTACATAGCCTATGACAAATGAGTGAAGTAGAAAAGAGAAATAAAATGGTCAGAGCATAGGAAAGATTAATTTACAAGGAAAGATGTAAAGAGCTAAAAATGCAGATCTTAGCTAAGCAAGGAGCAAGATGATGGTCTTCAAAATAGAAGTGTTAGCCTAAGAAGGGAGAAGAATTATTTAGGAGGGTCTAAGCAGGCAACAACTAGGTGAAATGGAATGGAATTAACAAAGGGAAGAGATTAGTTGAACATCAGGGAAACCTTCACCATGAGATCTACGAGAGTGTGGGATAGTTTCTCAAGGTAAGTGGTGGAAGCCTTCTTGTTTGGCACACTTAAAACTATACCCAAAGAAACCAACCCAACAATAGGAAAGGTACAATAGAGAGTAATCCTGCACTGGTAGGGAGGTGCACACAATACATACATCTGGCTCACATCCTCAACTGAGCTCAGCAGGTTGTGAGATCCATGATGTGAGTACGGTGGTTGGGTAAATGAGTGAGTATTAGAGGAGTGCTACACTTCCTCTGGGGCACCTACTGCTCCTTGCAGCAGTAGCTGGACACCTCATTTCATGGGCATGATGTGCAGCTGCCCAAATTATAGCATTCCTCTAAGAAGCAGATCTGTTGATTACATGAGAATATGAGCTAAAAAAAAAAAAAAAAAATCAAAAATGCCTGTCAAGTCCAGTCTATCCAGGCCCACTTTGAGCTATTAACTATCTTCATGAGTTACTTATTAAATTCACACTTTCATCATATTGCTGAGGTGTGCCTCAGCTTTACTTAAACTTAAGTAAAGGGACCAAAGGGACCAAAAATATCTGTTACCTGAAGTACCCTGTAGCTGAAAGATTAATGCTCTGTTCAAATGCTTCTTTAACCTGTAGAGTACAACAATTATTGGCAAACTTATCACCTGGGAAGGAGTTAAACATACACCTATTTATTTAAAAATCAAACTGCAAGAAAATGCTACAGAACTGAAGAGCGCTATGGTAATATCTGAGGATTCTCTCTGCCACCAGCTCCATTTTTTTTTTGCTCTGGGAGACTAGGCAAATGCTGAGTAAGTTCTCTGAAAACTGCAAACCATGATTCTAGTTCTAACTCAAGCCCCAGCAGGCAAACATACATGTAAATACAGCAGCTGTAAAATCCTGCTCACATGTCCAGGAACACTTTCCTCCTGGGGAGCTCACAGAAGTTCAGTCAACATTAAGAGGAGTCAGACATGTGCAGCTCCCAGATACTTGAATCAAGTTTGAGCTTTAATATGTGGATCAACTATGAAAGGTGAATAAGTAAAAATGGCACTTTGCCAAACAGAGCTTCTCCTTGTTTTTAATTCAGCCATAATTCCTGATATTACTGACTAAAAATATCTTTGACATAGCAGTTAGACCCTCATTCAACAGTTCATCCCGAGTCAGCCAAGCACTTAAACACGTGCTTAACTTTAGGCACATGGTTGAATCCTATTGACTTCAATGGGGCTTAAGTCTGTTTAAATTTAAGCATGTGCTTATAGGGTTTTCTGAATAGGGCTAGATTTATACACATGCTTAAATGCTCTGCTGAACTGGGGTTTTAATGCTGCAGAGCCAACACAGCTTTGGAAGAGTGAACTGGATTTGATTTGGTTCACACATAAGCATCAGACTTGTTCTCACAGCTCTGCTTGCAGAATCTTTACTGTTGGCCACATGGCAGCCAGAAAGGATCCAGCTTGACTTTCACATTACAGGTTGAGTTTGCAGTGCTGATAGTCAGAAAAGTGTTTATTTGTAAACTGAGCAGATCTGGTTGATAAGACACAGAGGGAAAAGAAACAAAAACCCAAGTTGCCAGTTAAAAAAAAAACCAACCACCACTTTTCAGAAAAAAAAAAAATAAAAATAAAAATGCTCTGAAGTGCAGTTATGCAAGTGATTCCAGCAGCGAAGGTGAGCTTCTAGATTTACTCCCTCTCAGCAATTCTCATATCAGATTTGCTTAATTTACATGTCAAATATGTTTTTGAAACTAATCAACTTTACAAGAGGTAAAGCAGCTTCTTCTCTGCATGGGTCAGCATTATCTTTTGATGTCAGTCATTCCTGATAATCTAAATTAAATTAATTTGACAATCACTAGAACAGCATTAGTCAGGGCAAACTGATTTACTCTTCACATATGTAGGTGTCAGTTAAGCTTAGAGCATTGCCACAGGTGTTCCACTGTTATTCTCTATTAATAAGAATAGTTGGCAAACTTTAAAACATTTTGCAGAGTAATCATGGTAATCCTTTAAGAGGGAACATCTGTGTGTTGGGACTGTAAGCACCTCAAGGGCAGTGTGGCAAATTGCTGGCACTACTCTGATGGGTCTCACGCTCTCTCTTCTTGGGGGTTCAGGGCACTATTTCTTGCCCCTGAACTGGGTATTAACTGCCCCACTAGTGTCCTAGAGGAGGGGAGTGGCGAGGGAGGGTCCCAGGCCCACCCTCTACTCTGGGTCCCAGCCCAGGGGCCCTAGGGATAGCAGTAAACCACCTGAACTCACGGTTCCTTCCCCTGGGCTACGTCCCTTTCCTGCCCTTCAGCTTGTGGGGCTTCCTGCCCTCCCTCTGCACAAACCAGGTGTCCCTTTACCTAGGGTCTTGGTCTTCTTAGCTCACAGCAGCACTTCTCCAAACTGTTCTCTGCACCAACACCAAACCACTCTGCTTCAACTCCTCCACTTGTCTGATTGAAGCAGGGTTTTTTTTAACCAGGTGACTGGCTTCAGGTGTTCTAAATTAATCTATAGCAAACTTTCTTCCCTCTACAGGAATAAGGCTCCCTTCTAACTCTCTCCTGCTGCCCTCTGGCCATGTTGTATCACAGGCAGGGATTGTCATTTTTGTTAGACTTTAAATCATCATGCAGCACTGCATAAACAATAGGATTTTAATATTTAGGCCACATTTACAGCTCTGCACCAAGGGACTGATTCTCAACTGCTGGGGTAGTAAGTAGGTGGACCGCCAGATGCTTTTGAACAGACCCTGAAATCTTTACTTATTTTTTTTTCCCCCATTATTTTCTCTGGAGTCTGGATTTTGATTATACCTTGACCAAGAAATTTGGACCTTGACAAACAATAATTGACTACCTGTAGCGGGGCGACCACTCACCGGTGCGGCACCTCCTGTTGGTCATCCTGGGAATTAGCTCTTCCAGCCCAGAGCGCCCTCTGCAGACCAGTGTCTCACCTGCTGCTGGCCCCCATGTCCCTCCCAGACCCTGTGCCCCTTTACCTTGGGGTGCTTCCCCCTGGCAGTGCCCCCACACTCAGTTTCCACTCCCAGGGGGAACCCCCACCCTTTATCCCCTCCTTGCCTCAGCAGCTACTGCCAGTCACCATCTAGCTCCCACTCACTGGGGCAGACTGCAGTCTGTACACCACCCATCATCGGCAAGGGGGGTTTGGACCTGCTGCCTTTGCCTAACCCTAGGCTGCACCTATACAACCCTAGTACCTTTCCCAGCCTTTAGCAAGGCCTGCAGCCTGGGGGTTCTCCAGCCCTGCTCCACTCAGGCACCCTGCTCAGCTCTCAGACAGCCAGGTCCATTTCCCTCTAAGGCTGAAGAGAGACTGCCTGAGTGCCTGGCTAGCAGCCCTTTTATAGGGCCAGCTGATGCCTGATTGCGGCATTGCCCCAGCTGTGGCTGCATACAGGATTGAGACCTAACCACTTCATCAGATTTGTTTGGACCAATTAGACAGAGCTCTTTGTGGTAGGGTCTGTCTCTATGTTTTGTGTTTGTATAGTATCTGCACAGTAGGGCCCAGGTCTATAACTAGGGCTCCTAGATACTATGATAATACAAATAATAACAGAGGGCCCATCCTATGTAAAGAAGGCTTTTTAGCAGGACAAAATGTGATTCTAGCATATTACAGGTCTAAGTGAGCCCCAATTGGTGTTTTATTCCTATCAATAGTTTTTTGACACTGTTGTGACACTCTGTATCTCAGGGGAACACCCAGCACCCTCATGTTCATCCTTGTAAAATGACTGTGTGGTATCTAATGCAAAGTTTGTCATGTTGGGTGTCTTCGGAAGGCTCATGATGCACCGAGTATTGTGGTTATAGTGATGTTATAGTAATTGTTGTTACAGTAATGCTATAATAATGTTATAGGTTGTAATTTCATGTATATAGTTATGAGGCTGAAATGTAACCTCATGGCTTAAAGCAAACCCAGAGAAAAACTCCCCAGGAGCAGAGGGGCAGTTCACGCCTCATCAGGGCATGTATGGGACAAACCCAGCCCAGCCTCACAGGAACAATGGACACTGGCCTAGGCAGCAACAAAGGATCTGTTGGACTCTTGAGTGAGACACCCCCCTTCCTCTGGTCAGTTTGGGACTGCGCTGAGGTCATGCTCACCTGACTTTGAAGGGAGGGGGGAAGCCAAGAGGGAAGAAAGAACATGATAAAAGGGAGAGATGTTTGCCTCTCTCTTCCACCTACATCTACAGACACGACACCCAGCGACTGAAGCGCTGATCAAAGGGGAGACCCTGGCTGAAGAGCAACCAGACAGCCTGTGGTGAGAAGCATCTAAGTTTGTAAGGGCATTGAAAGTGTTAAGATCAACTTAGAATGCGTTTTGCTTTTATTCATTTGACCAAATTTGACTTGTTATGTTTTGACTTATAATCACTTAAAATCTATCTTTATAGTTAATAAATCAGTTTGTTTATTCTACCTGAAGCAGTGCGTTTGGTTTGAAGCGTGTCAGAGACTCCGCTTGGGATAACAAGCCTGGTACATATCAATTTCTTTGTTAAATTGACAAACTCATATAAGCTTGCAGCATCCAGCAGGCATAACTGGACACTGCAAGATGGAGGTTCCTAGGGTTGTGTCTAGGACCGGAGATATTGGCTAGTGTCATTCGGTTGCACAATTCAAGTATCAGCTTATATGCCAGAGGCTGTGCGTGATGTTTGCTGCATGTTCAAGATTCCAGTACTGCCAATACCATGTATTTTAGCAGCTCACTATATGTGGGGAGGGACCCACCCAAACAAAGCATAAGGGCCAGATCCTCTGCTCTGGCCAAGCTGTGCTCTGTGCAGGCAGCATTTATCCTGCTGGTAAGAGATCACCATAGAAAGAGGAGAGAGAAAAATATTTTTATATATATATATATATATATATATATATATATATATATAACACACACACACACCAAAATTGCTATGTACATGCACATTTTTTAAATATAATTCATACCCATTTGATTTTTCACCCTGATACAAAAGTGCCTCTTACCCAATCATTCCAGGTACCTTTTGGGTTCTTGCTAATGATGGGCTCCAGGCGTTTCAAGAGAGTCTGGCAAGCATCCTGATGAAGAGAAAAGTTGGGGAAAATAATGCAAAAGTAGAGAAATAGACATTTGTCAGTATTTAATAATATTCAACATATTTTTTTTGTCATGGTGGAAGTACTATCAGCAGAGAAGACATCCCATTTACTTCTAGAAATCATTACTCCTCATTTAATTCCGTAGACCCCTTTTTTCTGGGGAATCCATCACCTGTCTTCCACTTAGAGAAGGATGGTGAATCAGTTTCTTTTGAGGCTCTTAACACTTCCTATCTATAGCCACCCAAACATGCCACCTCCTCAGTGAATTTGAAGGAAAAGTCTCAAATCCTGGGGAAAGGGAGGCTCAAGTTTGTTCCTGACTCCAGTTCTTCTGGGCCACACATTTTTAATGTTTATGTGAAAATAGATTAATCTAGCTAATTGGTAAGGCCACTACTAGAGATGGGTGACCCTGAAACACTCCAGCAGGTCGGTCAGTTTAGATAAACATCTGGTTTCAGAGTAACAGCCGTGTTAGTCTGTATTCGCAAAAACAAAAGGAGTACAATTGGTTAGTCTCTAAGGTGCCACAAGTACTCCTTTTCTTTTTGATAAACATCTGGAGGTTCTTATGCTCATCCAAATCTCAACAGAAGTAGTAGAACAGAGGTCCCATCTCTCCCCAAACCAGATCCTTCTCCTCCGCTCCCAGATCTGCACAACCAGGCCTCCTTCAGGCCTCTGCGTCATCCCTTACTCCAGGGCTCATGTGATACCCACTCTTCCCACCCCATCTTTGGATCAAGGAATCAAATACTCATGAGATCTTAAGTCTCTCTCCTGGGACTAGCCAAGTTTCTGCCTCCAAATCTGCCACCATTGTCAGGCTTCCCAATAAAATTACCACCCAGAGACACTGCTCCATTGTAACAGAGAAGCTTACAAAATGTGTAAGTTTTAATATAAAAAACAAGAGGCCTCTGTCCAGTAGAGAAACCAAAGATCAGCTAGGCCTGTGATTCTTTCATGAAAAAATAGGGAGGAAATTAAGGGTCTTGATTTAAGGAAGATGCGGAAGGATGAGAGAGAGGTAGGGAAGATTTGTTTAATTAAATTGACTCAAACCTTAAAATAATGTCTGGGATTAGTGTGAACTAGCACATGATCAGTGCCAGGTCTTTAAGAACTGGTTTGCTCACTTCATCGCAGGAGAGATAAGAGGCCTCCATTATATGCAGTGAGTGTTTAGTAAAAAAAACCTTAAGCCTTTTTGGGGAGCTTTGGGTTCTGTTCTGGAAACCCCAAACCACAACATAACAAAGAGTTTGGAATTCATCAAGAAGCAATGTTTCATATTCTTAGTGGCCACCTGCAATAGCCACACGATAGGTAATTTCAAGCTCTGTGGGACTGCTCATGTGCGTAAAATTAGGCACTTGCTTAAAAACCTTGATGAATGGGGGCTTTTAAGAGTTGACTGGTAGACAAATATTACCCTTTACCTTTACTGCCATTCCATTGACATCAGTTCCAGCAGATGCTACTGAAGCACAAGCATTAGGAACAGTTGTTGTGCTTGTTTCACAAAAATGAATACTCGACATGGGGATCTTTAATTCCCGGCTGGCAACCTGGGGTGGGGAATGAACATACTCTCATTCCATTTGAAACACACATTTCTGAACATTGCAATAATATCAGCCTTCAAAAGGTATGTCTACACAGCAAAGAAAAACCCAGGACTTGGGCTGTTTCATTTTCACTAGGACCCTGCAGGGTGTGAGGTCCCAGAGCCCAGGCTCCAGCCCGTGCCTGAAAGTCTACAAAGCAATGAAACAGCCCCACAGCTCAAGCCCTGCAAGCCTGAGTTGGCTGGCATGGGCCAGCCGTGGGTTTTTCTTTGCTGTGTAAAAATACCCTTAGACACTAGGTTATGGATTTGATAGGATTTGATCTAATAAAGAAATTATTAGATATTCTTGCTCCAGAGCCTTCCATTTCCAATTGTAATCACATTGCTGTGTCTGTAGGGGTAAAGTGGAACAGAGGAATGATGGTCTTGTGGTTAAAGCACTAGACTGAGTCTCTATAGAGCTAAGTTCAATTCCTGATTCTGCTACAAACTTCCTGTGTGATCCTAAGCAAGTCATTAGGGTGTGTCTATATAGTTAAAAATAAACAAAATACTCCAAAACCCTGTCGCAGCAAGTATCAGAGTCCAGGCCAATTGACTTGGGCTTGTGCTGCAGGTCTGAAAATAATAATGTAGATGTTGGGGCTCTGGCTGAGACTCCTGTTTTGGTTTGAGCCTGAACTGCTACTTTTAGCCCCACAGTGCAAGCCCAATTCAGTTGACCTGGGCTCTGAGACTTGCTACCACGGGTTTTTTTTGCTGCATAGATGTACCCAGTGTCTCTCTGTGCCTCAGTTCCCAGTCAGTCAAATGTGGATAACAATACAGTAGAACCCCGATTTTATGAACATCGATCTTAGGAAGAGATGGTTATATGCGCACCTATGGGCGCTCCACTCTAAGTGCACATGTGCCCCACATCAGCCTCAGATCATAGATTTTAGGTAGTAGTGTCTGTTCAGCTCACGCATGTGCCCCATGCAGCCCCATGCTCTGCACCGTGGCCATATATAGCTGTGCGGGTGAACTGCCTTCAGTTTCTTCTCTGCTGAGGAGCTCCATGGTAAAGAACTCAAAGCAGAGGGTGGGAGGGCAGGTAGCGGAGCATCCACAGGGACACATCTTGAAGAACCACAGTTACTGCACAGGGTGAGTAACCTTCTCTTCTTCTTTCAGTAGTGTCCCTGTGGGTGCGCCACTCTAGGTGACTACTGAGCAGTGCCCTCTATAGAGGGGTAGGTTTTGGAGTTGAGTCTAAGGCTGAAAATAGCACAGTAGAGACAAACATGGCATCAGAAGCTGAGACATGAGTAACTGTATAGTGTTCAGAAAAGGTCTGAATGGCGGTCCAAGTCATGGCTCTACATATTTCTGTACAGGAATGCTCTCAAGAAAGGCTAATGAAGCAGAAAGGGATCTTGTGGAGTGAGTTAATACTCTAGAAAGAGGTTGAATATCATGGGACTGATAACAATAGGTAATGCAGCCAGATAGCCAGTCTTTATTTGGAAATTGGAGATCCCTTAGTTCTGTCCACAATGGAGAGAAACAATCTGGGAAATTTTCTAAAGGACTTAGTTCTGTCTAGGTAAAAGGCTAATACCCTCCTGACATCAAGTATATGTAATGCCTCATCTTCTTTATTCTGGTGTGGCTTAGGGAAGAAAACTGGAAGTTGGATAGGTTGGTTTACCCGGAAGTCCAAGGATACCTTTGGTAAGAACTTGGGATGCAGTTGCAACATGACCTTTTCCTTAAAAAAGGCTGAACAAGAGCTTTCCAGGTGTAGGAACCAAGCATGTCTTAAGGCAGAAAATTCCTAAGTTGGGATGTAGGGTACGTTCTCTGTTCTGCATGAAAAGGTGTGGAATGGCTGGGAGAGGAATTGGTGGGCACGTTGCGAGCTGTGCCAGGTAAGGGTACCAGGTCTGTCTCGACCAAATAGGAGCAATCAGAATAAGGTGAGCTCCATCCCTTTTTATTTTCAGCAGGACCTTTGATAGTAGGGGAAATGGAGGAAAGGTGTAGAGAAGGTCTTTGTCCCAGGGGAGGAGGAGAGCATCGCCCAGGGAGTGTTGTTCCATCCTCACTCTGGAGCAGTACTGTGGATATTTCTTGTTCAGGTGAGTTGCGAACAGGTCTGTGGATGGTATTCCCCATCATCTGAATAGGTTGTGAAGCACTATTGGGTGTATCTCCCCCTCATGGTCCTGCGGGAATGTGTGACTGAGACTGTCCGCTATTGAGTTTTATCTGCTGGGGAGGTAAGCCATGGACAGCGTGACACTGTGTAAGATGCACCAGTTCCATAGCCTCATAGCTTCTGTGCATGGGGGGGGGGGGCGGCTTGGCTCCCCTCTGCCAACTGATGTAGTACATACAGGCTATGTTGTTTGTTAGGATCTTTGTATGTGATCCTGTGATCAGCAGGAGGAAATAGGTGCAGGCATTCCTGACTTGAGGAGATTGATGTGGAGGGATATCTCCACAGGTGACCATTTGCCTTGTATTGTGTGGCCGTTTAGATGCATGCCACACCTCTGAGTGATGCATCGGTGATGAGGAGCAACAATGGTGATGTTTGCGCAAATGGGATCCTTTTGCAAATGTTAGCTGGATCCTTCCACCAGTGTAAGGTGTTTTTGATCCTGGTGGGTGGTGATAGGGATTTGTCCAGCCTGTCCTTATTGGGTCTGTAAACTGAGCTGAACCACATTTGGAGGCATTGCATGTGAAGTCTGGCATGTGCTATTACCGCCATGCCTGCTGCCGTATGCCCCAAGAGTTGGAGCAGAGCCTGGCTGGTATTTGGGGGCTGCTTTGAATGGTGTCTAGGAGTGTGACTAAGGATAGGAACCTGTGTTGAGGTAAGAAGGCTTTGGCCTGTAACAAATGGAGGTCAGCCCCTATGAATTCCAGGTGTTGCACTGGAGAGAGGTTGACTTCTGGGTGTTGATCTGTAGACACAGTTCCATAAACAAGTATATCGTAGCTTCACTGACTTGGTGAGCCTCATGATGAGACCAGGCTCTGAGGAGGCAATCATCTAGGTAAAAATAGATCATTATCCCTTGAGAACGTAAATGAGAGGGCACCACTGAGAGAATCTTGGAAAATACTTTTGGGGCTGATAATCCCAGAGGGGAGCACTCTGTATTTTTAATGGTCGTGTCCCAGAGTGAATCTGAGAAATCATCTGTGAGCCAGTAGGATTGAGATATGAAAATAGGCATCTTGAAGGTTGAGGGCTGTAAACCAGTCTCCCTGTTCCAATGTTGGAATGATCATTGACAAGGTGACCACCTTGAATTTTTGAGACTCGATGAATTTGTTAGGAGCTGAGGTCTAGTGTGGGTCTCCAACCTCCCTTCTTTCTGGGTATTAGGAAATAACAAGAGTAGAACCCTTTGTCTCAAGATGCTGAGGTACTGGTTCTATGGCTCCTAACTGGAGGAAGCAATCTGTTTCTATTCATAGTAAACTCTTGTGAGAAGGGTCCCTGAAGAGGGATGCAGAAGGGTGTTGTGGAGGGAGGTAAGGAGGTAAAATGGATGGAGTACCCAGCTCAAACGATCTCTAGGACCCGTTGGTCTGAAATTATATATTCCCAGGCACTGCAGAGTGCTGCCAATCAGTGGCCAAATGGGTGTGGAATGATGGTTGGCTGTGTCAGTTGGGGGGGGAGTACTTTGACCTGTCCGTCAAAACAGCTTAGACGTAGAGGGCTGAGATGAAGATTGTGGGTCAGATGGTTTGCATTTAGGAAATTTCCCTTTCTTTCTTTGTGGCTTGTAGTGGCACTGAGGTTAGTACTGAGGCGCATTTGGTCTATGCTGGAATTGGGGACTAAATTGTCTCTTTTGTCCCAGTATATAGCTACCCAGTGACTGGAGGCTAGCCCTGCAGTCCCCCAGGGTATGAAGGGAGGCATCAGTCTTCTCAGTGAAGAGCTTCATGCCCTCAAATGGAAGGTGCTTAACCATGGACTGTACCTCCTTTGGGAAACCCAACAAAAGGAGCCATGACGCCAGAAGTGGAGATGGACCTAGCTGCTGTGTTGAAGGCAGATTACAGCGATATCTTTGGCACTAACTGGCCCTCCTGGATAATGGTCTTAAATGAGTCGTGATATGCTTCTGGCATTGTCTCAATAAAGTCATTCAGTTTTATATAATCATATTTCACCATGAGGGGCTAATAGTTGGCAATACAGAATTGTAGGGTGCCTGAGGAGTACGCTTCTCTGCCGAAAAGGTCAAGGCACTTCCAATCCCTATTGTAGGGAGTAGCTCTTGACTGGTGTTGTGAGCCACAGGAGTTGAGATGGAGTCCACCACATTGGAGTTGGATGGTAGGTGGGAAAATAGGAATTCAGATTCCTTGGCAGGGATGTAGTAATTTTTGTCAGCTTGCTTGCAGGTTGGCGCCATCGATCCTGAGATTTGCCACACTGTCTGTCGGGTCTAACATGGTCTCATTAATCAGGAGGGCAATCTTTGAGGAGGATGAAGAGTGGATGATGTCAAGGAGTTGATGGTAGGTGTTCTTGACTTTTTCCAATGGTATCTGGAGTGTTTCTGCCACCTTCTTCGCCAACTCCTGGAAGAGACGAAAGTCGTCTGCCAAAGATGGTGGAGGAGGCATGATGGCTTCGTCTGGAGAGGAGTATACGGTCCTTGGTGTCACTTCCTCCTCAGTACCGGTTTCCTGTTTCTCTATGTCTTGAGATGGTTCTGAAGCCTTGGATGCTGCAGCCAAGGGAGTGTGCCTCCAAGGTTCCTGGGCGAGGCTCAAAGCTTGAGAGGCTTATTGGTGTTGTGCCACGCAAGGGTCCCAATATGGCCACTGGAGTGGTCATGGCACCCCCGGGGTGGCCATACCAAGGTGGGGCCATCTGTGACTATATCCTTGGGCTCTGTTGGTAATGAGCACCATATGGAGCTTAGGAGGAGTACTGCAAAACTACCTCTTCTGGCTCACTACAAACTAGGAGGCTAACTAACTACAGAAATGCAGATTAAAGTAATAGTCCTAGTGGACTGCAAATAGCTCTGTCTTTAGCCAGCGTGGTTGAGAAGAAACTGAAGGGGGTTAAGGCCATGCGCGCTGGCTAGCCTCGTGGGGCAGCACGAGGAGAGACAGTGCATGTGCAGGCCTAACGGACACTGCTACCAAAGTTCTCTGATCAGCAGTGCAGGGACACAAACACACCTACAATGGAGCCCCTATAGGAACACTACTCAAAGAAGAACTGAGGGTGGTTCACCTATGCAGCTCTATATGGTTACGGTGCAGGGCAAAAGGCTGCATGGGTCACATGCACGGTCAGAAAGAACACTGCTAACTAAAATCTCGGATCTGAGGAACATGGGGTTCATGCACACCTAGAGTGGAGCACCCATGGGGACAATACTCGAAGACCAACAGGTTATATGAATCATTTTTCTGCTGCCAAAATCATCTTTCTGCTACTCAGTGTGACTTCAATCCTTCAGCCAACATTCAAGCAGCAGCACAGGGTTGAAAAGACTGAGAGGTTTGGTGAGAAAGAAGATGTGCAATTCTCTCACACAAAAAAAAAATAAATAAAAAAATAAAGCATGCTGTATGAATTTATAACCATTTGTTATGTACACTATCAACAGAGTTAATTTATTAACTTATGCACTGCACCTGCTGTAATTTTGAGATGTTCAATTGTATTATTTTTTTGATCTTATGAACTCCTCAATCCCCAATTGGTTAATAAAATACGAGTTCTGCTGCATTCCTTTTGTCTGTTTTGTTTATATAGTCGACGTGCTCCATGTGGCAATGACTGCATTTTACAACAGGTTTGTACAGTGCCAAACAAAAAGGGGCCCAACACTGACCACAGCCTTCAGGCACTACTGTAATACAAATAAGTAATAGTAATAATAAGGTGGTTCCTGTAAGCTATTCGTCTTCTCTGCCTGCTCCCACTGTGGCCCTTAACAAAGCTGGCTATGGGAGCAGCTCACATACACAGGGCTTGTTTGCCTGCCAGAACAAGGGACTTTTCTCTGCTGCCATAACTCTGTTGATGTCAATAGAGTTATGCCAGAGAAGAATTTGTCTCTATCTGTGTTCACTATCTGTGTTCACAGTCTTGCTACAGCTTTTCCAATAACTAAACATCTGTTTAGCAGTGTTTGTCCATAGTACGTCTTTAGCACATGGCTAATATTTGATTTTGGTACCTGGATCATTTTGGTGTGAATGCCTTGTCCCATTTCAATTCCACCATGAGTTAGAAGCACAGAACCATCCATATAGATATGAACCAGAGCAGCAGCCTAAAGAGAGAGAGCAGAAATGGACTACTGAGTGCTGTTACTACCCTATGATTTAACGGAAAAAGGATCTGCATTTAACATGGGGCAATGCATCAAAAGCAGAAGGGATGGCGCCTTGAAGTGCATTGTGATTTTAGATGCTATAACCTTATCTGCCGAGACAGAATCAGAGGCCATTTGGAATTCCAGCATCAGCTCTGTCTCTACATTAAACTTCAAGTGAGGAGATATCAGTTTATGGAGGTTTGTTTCTCATGATGTTAGGAACACAAGGAAAGAAACTGAACTACATGGAATCATAGAACTGGAAGGGACCTTGAGAGGTCATCTAGTCCAGTCCCCTGCACTCACGGCAGGACTAAGTATTACCTAGACCATCCCTGACAGGAGTTTGTCCAACCTGCTCTTAAAAATCTCCAATGATGGAGATTTCACAACCTCCCTAGGCAATTTATTCCAGTGCTTAACCACCCTGACAGTTAGGAAGTTTCTCCTAATGTCCAACCTAAACCACACTTGCTGCAATTTAAGCCCATTGCTTCTTGTCCTATCCTCAGAGGTTAAGAAAAACAATTTTTCTTCCTCCTCCTTGTAACAACCTTTTACGTACTTGAAAACTGTTATCATGTCCCCTCTCAGTCTTCTCTTTTCCAGACCAAACAAACCTAACTTTTTCAATCTTCCCTCAGAGGTCATGTTTTTTAGACCTTTAATCATTTTTGTTGCTCTTCTCTGGACTCTCTCCAAGTTGTCCACATCCTTCCTGAAATGTGGTGCCCAGAACTGGACACAATACTCCAGTTGAGGCCTAATCAGCACAGAGTATAGCAGAAGAATTACTTCTCATGTCTTGCTTACAACACTCCTGCTAATACATCCCAGAACGATGTTCGCTTTTTTGGCAACAGCGTTACACTGTTGACTCATATTTAGCTTGTGGCCCACTATGACCCCCAGATTCCTTTCTGCAGGACTCCTTCCTAGGCAGTCATTTCCCATTTTGTATGTGTGCAACTGATTGTTCCTTCCCAAGTGGAGTACTTTGCATTTGTCCTTATTGAATTTCATCGTATTTACTTCAGACCATTTCTCCAGTTTGTCCAGATCATTTTGAATTATAATCCTATTCTCCAAAACACTTGCAACCCCTTCCAGCTACATAGTCTAGTCATTTCTAAAAATGGCTAGAGTCATCACATTTTTGCATAGCAATTATATGCTTTAATAAGGCATCCCCCTATCTGACACGCTCTCCTGTAGCAGGTTGCCACATATCAAGTGTGCCTTCCTCAGTTTCCCCTTAGACTAGCCATAAAAAGAACAGTCTCTCTTACTGTCAAATTCAAAGTCTCACCTCTGGGCATAATTTATTCATGTACATGTAAGACCCCTCATGGTAAAACTGTTCTCTTAATTCCCACAGTAAAATATATCAAGGTACAGTGATTTTCCATTCCTCTCTCCAGGACCATCACTTCCAGTCATCCACACGTGAGTCCACCAGCACTTGGCTCTCAGTTCCTTTCTGTCCTTGTTCCAGAGCCCCACACTCCCAGCCATCCACCTGAGTGTGACCAGTCTCATGATTCTTCTACCCAACACACAGTCCAATGATTCAGCCCTTTTCAGCCTCCCAGCGCTGGCTCTATGGCTCAGGAAGATTAGCAGGCCAACTCCTCTGCTAGTCTCCTAGCTTTTAGCCATCTTCAGTCTCCTGGGACTGGCCCCTCTGCTGGTCTCCTAGCCAATTCCTCCCTATTCCCAGGCAGGGACTGGAAACCTTTCTGTTCTCTGCAGTGTCCTTGTCTCTCCCAGGCAGCTGCCACCTGCTGCTTTTATTGCTCTGCTTTCTCAGGCATTTCTCTGGATCTGACTCACCAGATCTCCAACTCACCTGGTCTTCTCCCCTCTAGGGTTCAGGTGCTCTCTGAAGCCTAAATGGGTGTCAACTGACTGTCACCCTGTGACAGATGTTTATATAAAAACATTGCTGCAAGTTCTATTTTCTCTCTTGTTAATGTTTTCAAGCCTCTGGACTTTTTGGGGAGCCATGAATTGGATAGACTGACAGTACTGGTCAGAGCCAGTTGAGTCCTGAATGGGGTTTCCTTCCAACCCCCACAACTCAGCCATAAACTGCATCACAGTCTGCAATAGACCCTGTGAATAAAATGTTGAGGAGAGGCTGCAAATTGGGTGTGACATTCTGTCACCTTCTGGATTGATTTATTTTTCAGTGTATAAAAGGTGCTTATCGAACAAGATCTGAACACATCCCCAACATTAAACATACCACACAAGTCATCAATATGTATTAAATCTCCTCCTCCAACTCTCTTTTCCTAACGCTTACCCCCCATGACCTACAAATGATAAGCATGAAAAAGCAGCTTTCCCTAGTGCCCAAAGTTCAACAGGCTTGGGTTCAGGGGGGAGAAAATTCTAGAGGTGAGAACACTTTGAAGACAATGTCTTGCCTTCAGTACCCAAAAACTTAAACTTAGACACTAGTAGTAAGAGGCCTTCATCTGTTCTTATCCTATGTAGTATGTTACAGGGAAGCTAGCCATGGCTCAAACTACATGGGCTTTACAGATCAAAATTAACACCTTTGATTGCACCTGGAAGTGACTCAAGCTGATGCAGCCTATGGATAACAGGTGTTAGGATGTGGACAAGTATTCATCTGGGATTAAAGTTACGGTATATTTTTTGTTATCTAAACTAGGTAAAATTTAGCCTTCCAAGGGTGAAAGGCTTAGGCCATTGTGTTAGTCAGCATTTTTAAAGCTGCTTTAAAGCCAACTGACCTGACTTAGAAAACGCGTGAACAAGCCAAATGGAAACTTCATGGGAATAATGGCAATCCCCTTCTTCTTCCAGTAATTTTGCTTGTTAAATTCTTCCACAGCTGTTTTCCTGCTGTAGTATTCAGACTTCTCCATACATTCATTCCAACACCTTACCAGGTTCTCTGGATCAAGCTCTTGAAAGTAGCATAATTGTTCAGTTTCTTTGTACATGTTTATTTCTCTAACCTGAAACAGGAGAATTAACCCCGATCATACAATCTTCATAAAAGCAGACTACTACTTTTGAGATTAGCGGTCAAATAGTAAGCAAAATGCATTCTTAAGTATTTTCATGATTACTCATGACAAGCTGGGTAAAGCATGACAGTGGGGCCATATTATTCATTTTTGAAAGCAGTCAAACTCTGAGTGGGAAATATTTTAAAATTTTAGCACAATTTCATCCAGAAAGTCATACCCACAATGTTTTGTTTTGTTACTCTCATCTTTAAAATATTTTAGTCATTCAATCTGGAAACAGACAAAATACCATGTGACTCAGGTGACCAGTCACAAAATCAAGAGTAACTAATAGCAACAAACACTTTGTAGTGAATTCGGGACTTGTAACGATTAGTTCTAGCTAGTCAGCCAACCCAGGAGTTCTCAAATATTTCATTGTGTGGGCCACACTTTAACACAGGTTGCACAGTACAAAAGAGTAAAAAAAAATAAACTGTTTCATTTCAATGCTAATAATCCTTTTTCCTTACCTTTTCTGGTGATAAATCACTTTTGGCTGCAATGGCTGTTATCCAGGATTCTGTAATCAGTCCTGACTGTGGGAAACCAAAACCTCGGAACGCTGTGTTTGACGGCAAGTTCGTCTTGCAGGCGCGACTGCAGCACCGCAGGTTGGGAATCTTGTAAGCATTATCCATTTTTAGTAAGACTACCTCTGCTACCTTGAGTATGGGAACAGGTACAGCTAAACATCAGAACAGCTCTTCCCTTAAAATTACATTCACATTTAAACTAATAAACATTCCTCCTCTTAGAGAAAGGACTTGGACTTGAGACAATTCGGACAATAGAAGAATATTTTAAGCTTTTATTTTTTTATTTTTAAAGTTTCTATAAATCCTATGTAACAAGAATACTCTACACTCATTACATCTACATTTCCCACATAGCATGATCTTACATTTCAATAGTTTTGTTAGCATATGCAAGGAACGTAGTAGATACAATAGCAGTTGATATATAATTAGTGAGCTACAATAGTCGCTCCATAGTTAAGGCTGCAAATGAAATTCCATTATAAGCCTGATTTTGGCCTAAGTCTAAAAATTTACAAAAATTCATATAAATCTAAAAAACTGTAGTTTAGATCTGGGCCTGGAGCAAAAATTTTCCACATAATTTGAAATGAACTGGACAAAGGGATCTAAGGATGTGCAGAGTTAAAGTTCATTTCTCAAAGAAGCCACCACTACAAAAGTCTTTTAACTTTGGTTTTTGTTTTCATATTTGTTTATTTTTCTACAAACCTGAAAAAAAAAAACCACCCAAACCCCACAAGAGAGAGAAAACTTTGTTTACTGGACTGTCCAGGCTGGGTTCTAATACTCAGCACCAAAACGTAGTTGATTAAACTCTACCTTTAAAAAAATGATAAACTGTTTTAGTTTAATGCATAACCAGGAACTGTTGGTTCCCCCACATGAAGTGTAGAGAAGTATAACCATAGTTCTGCATTTCCTGGGTTTCTAAAGCATAAGGGTTTGTTTTTAATACTAATATTCTTGAAAGATATTACTGCACTCCCATCACAGAGAAGAGCCTGCAATCTTAACTTTGCTATAACGAAACTTTCAATATGATGATAAATTAAAACATTATTCACAGAATATAGGTAACCCTAATGCCCCATGGGCAAATTTTGGCTTTGAATGTGCAAATAACTCCTATTGATGTCAGCAGAAATGGTGCATATATATCCAATGGGACAACTGGTCTTTAAGAATCGAATTGCTACTGGGTGTGGTGTCTATCTATCTATATAGTCAGCGGTAACAGGTATATGAATTCAAATGTACAATTGGGGGACGATGGGGAAAGGAGGGAGGGCTGAGTAGTATCTGTGTGAAGACTGAATTATCCTGCTGAGTGTGAGTGAAAGACTGCTGGCAATCTCAGGTAGTTTTTAATATTCTAAGCACTATGGAGATTTTCCCATTGTCAGAACCTTCCAGATTCCCTGTGGCCATAAAATGATTGTGCAGACTGTGGGGCATAGGACATTTGTGGGGAATAGACTATTAGCTACCACCATAACTTGAACCTAACTCTGAGTAATATTCCATTAAGAGAATGTGTGAGGAAATGCCAAAAGGGAACACTGAGCTAGGTCAGGAGAGGTAGTTTCTCTTATGGGGGCCTTTTCCGACACACACTCAGAATCCCCACAACACAGGCTAGAAGGACAATCCTACAAGAAGTGAGCCAAGGAACCTGACCTTCCACAATGTTTCCAGCAAACAATTCCTCCCATGTTATGACTAGAAAATCTGCCCCTTTATAAAACCCTTACCAGAATAGAGTCATCAGGCGTGCATCCTCCATTAATATAGTATTTGGCATCTGCAGCCATGATCCTACCATCATTCATGAAGCCAACCTAAAATGGATTAATATAGATGTCTTAGACTTGTTCAGTCCTTGAACTACTCTTTACTTGTCCCACCACACAGTACAGAAAGTATAAATACAAACATTACCATCATCTCTTTTTTCCAACACCAAGGTTGAGCAGGGCTGATCTTACTCATTTTGTCAGTTTTTTGGTTTAAGAAAGTACATATACGGCCAGCAACCTCAAGTCTAGGCAGCCCCTTTCTGTTCACTACTCACTGAGAGTACCTGGATTGTACCATGAGAAAGTTGGAGAGAGACATTGGGTTTGTGGCCTGGTCAGGTTGCTGCTCCCACCACGGGGTTGGCCCTGTCAATGTTTCACTTGGCAGCAGAATCTGCTAGCAGGAATCTACTCACCGTATGCAACCCACAAGTACAAACAGGTTATACATTTTGCAACTAAATGTCAATTACACAATTAAGGCTATATTGTGCCACTCATTTTTAAGCAAAACGCTGTTGAACCCATGGGGAAATGGGTTGTTAAGCAACAGACTTTCCAAACTCCCAGTTGTGACCTGCATCAGTCCAGTACATATCACAAGTTTCTTTTGTCTAGCAACGTGCACCTCAATGGAATGGGATGTTGCTGGAAAGTCTAATGTCTTCCTGTGCCTTCCCCTGGAGATGGCTGATTAGTGTGCTGTGCCACAATCAGTAAATGCTAATGTTTAAAGTGAAGTTCTATTCTGAGAAGTGATTGTAAAAAAATGGCACCTTCTTATTCAGCAGATCTGCAGCTTGGTTCTTGCTCTGGGCAGGCCGCAGACTATACCCTTTGAACCCACTGACCAAAAACCCCATAACTCACCTGAGCTGTAAATGGTGTTCTTCAAGCTGCGTTGCACATGTCTATTCCACATTAGGTGTGGGCACTCAGTACATTGTAGCTGGAGATTTGCAGTGTACATGCCCCGTGCATCCTCATATATTCAGTCAGGGGCACAAAGGGAAGAGCTTCCCCAACCCACTCCAGTGCCTTCGCACTGGATTCATAATGATAATTGACTCCAAAGTAGAGGGGAAGGAGGGAATGCTGTGGAATAGACATGTGCAACACATCTCAAAGAACAACAATTACATACAGGTAAGTCACTTTTTTCTTCGAGTGACTGGAGTGTCTACTCCACATGAGATGACTCTCAAGCAGTACTGCACAGAGGATGAGCTCAGAGTTTACTGAAACAGCAACTGCAGAACAGCCTTTCCAAAGCCTAAATCATCTCTGGAGGCTGATGCTATGGCATAATGCCTGGCAAATGTGTGTCCTGAAGACCAAGTCATGGCTTTGCTGATAGCAGCAGCTGGAACATTGTTTAGGAAAAGCTACTGTGGCTTGTAGAATGTTCTGACAGTTTCAAAGGTGGCACAGATTTGACAACGTCATAACACAAAGATATGCAAGAGGTAATCCAACTGAAAATCCTCTGTGCTGGAACCGCTAGCCCTCTCATCCTTTCCGCATAAGAAACAACCAAGCAAGATGAGGAGTGGAAGGGCTTAGTCCTGTTCAAATAAAAGGTAAGGGTCCAGTGAACTTCCAGTTTATGAACTCTTTCCTCATCCTTGTCCATGTGTGGCTTGGGAAAGAAAGTAGGTAAGTGATTGGTCTGGTTGAGATGGGAATCTGAGACTATCTTTGTCAGGAATGTGGGGTGAGGTCTCAGAGAAACCTTCTCTTTATAAAAAATTGTATAAGTGCCTGAAATTTTCCAGCTCTCCTAGCACATGTGAAGTCCACTAGAAAAGCTACCTTAGCTGATAAGTATGAAAGGGCTCATCAGACTAAAGGTTCAAAGGGTTGACCCATTAGCGCTGATGACTCCAAAGTTCAAATTCCAGGGAGAAGATGAATCTTTCAGTGGTGCATGAAGCCTGCTTATTCCTTTTAAAAATCAGATTGTCACAGGGTTAGAAAATACAGACCGACCTTGGACTGGAGGGTGAAAGACTGACAGTACAGGCAGGTGCATTTTCAGAAAACTGACTGACAGGCCTGTCTCTTTCAGATGAAGCAAATACTCTAGAACATCTTGAGCCTCAGTCTCTGAAGAGGGTATATTCTGTGGCTTGTGCAGAGCAAGAACCATTTCCATTTGTGCAGGTAAAGGATCCTGGTGGACTGTTTCCTGCTGTTCAGTAAGATGTTCTGGACTGCCAGTGAACAAACCTTTTCCTCAGAGTCTAGCCAGTCAGCAGCCATGTCATGAGGGTTCGGATGTAAAAGGTGGCAGTGACTCTAGAATACAATGTCCTTGTTCTGAGGTAGAACCAGAAACAGCTGAACTGATAACCTCTAGAGATCTGAAAACCACTGCTGCATTGGCCACGCGGGTGCTATTAAGATGTGATGAAGTGGGAATGTTCTTAATGTTTTCTTCAAATACTGTGTGGGTGCCTCAGTTTCCCCTATGCCTTTCTTAAGTATCTAGGTAGTGGGATAGGGGTGTGTGATTGTTCCAGAGCCCTAGAGGGTGAGTGTGATGCTATCTGCACAGAGAACAGCCAACACTCTGTCTCCTGGCAACTAATGGCCTGGATCCCTCCCTTGCAAAGGTGCCAACTGAAGGTGTTGGAGAACAAAGAGATCAGGTGGCCTCCTGGCCCGGGAAAGAGACAAAGGCCAAGGGGGGGCTTCAGTTTAGAGCTGGCTGGGGAAATGGAGGGAGGCCCAGAACTGGGTTCTGGGCTCCCTAATTCCCCTATGATGGACCTGACTGAGGGGTCCTGTTCTCTACCTACAAGCTCTGTTTTAGACAGTGTTCCTGTTGTCTAATAAACCTTCTCTTTTACCGGCTGGCTGAGAGTCACACCTGACTGTGGAGTTAGGGTGCAGGGCCCTCTGGCTTCCCCAGGAGCCCCACCTGTGCGGACTCGCAGTGGGAAGCACACGGTGTGAAAAGGGGATGCTGAATGCTCCGAGGTCAGGCCCAGGAAGGTCGAAGCTGTGTAAGCTTCTTGCCCTGGAGACAGTCTGCTCACAGAGAGGAGGCTCCCCCAGAGTCCAGACTGGCTTCGTATGGAGTAGTTCCGGAGCATCGCCTAGGGACTCCATGACATAAGATCATTGTGGCATGGTTCTGTTTCAATGTGAAGATTACCGTGGGAATCAAAGGAACAAGAGGGAAAACATACAACAAACATGACATCCATTGGAGCAAGAAGGCGTACGTGAGTGACCCTAGGCTGTGACCCACCCTTGAGAGGAACTGATGGCACTTTCTCTTCTGCTTCATGGTGAATAAATCTATGGTGTGTTTTCCCCAGGCCTGGAAGACAGCTTTTACTACATCGGTTCTCAGAAACCAATAATGGCCTGCTGAACCGCCTGCTGAGGTGGTGAGCCATGCAATTCTGAAGACCTGGCAGATGAGACACTGAGTATTCTCTTGTTCAGAATGCAGAAATTCCACAGCCTGACAGCCTGTTGGCAAAGCTGATCAAATCCCTGTCTGTTCAGGTAGAACATTGCTGTAGAATTGTCTGTTACGATGTGCACACCCTTGCCCCTGATTTGATGTAAAAAGTCTTGACATGCTTAGAGAATTGCCCTCAGTTCCAGCACATTTATGTGTAAAGATAACTCTTCATCTGTCTACAGGCCTTAAGCCCGGAGAGCCCCCAGATGTGCACTCTGATCTAAGGAAGACACATATGTATGCAACTTGGAACAAATTTTGAAAGAGAAAGTAGTTAAGGACATAGCAGTTAACAGTAATTGGGATAAAATACGATATAGTTTTATAAAAGGTAGATTGTGCCAGACCAACATGATCTCCTTCTTGGAGAAGATAACTGATTTTTCAGACAAAGGAAATGCAGTAGATCTAATCTACCTGGATTTCAGTAAGGCATTTTATATAGTTCCACATGGGAAATTATTAGTTAAATTGGAGATGAAGGGGGTTAATATGAGAACTGAAAGGTGGAGAAGGAACTGGCTAAAGGGGAGACTACAAGGGGTCACACTGAAAGGAGAACTGTCAGGCTGAGGGATGTTACTAGTGGAGTTCCTCAGGGACTGGTCTTGGGATCAATCTTATTTAACATTTTTATTACTGACCTTGGCACAAAGAGTGGGAATGTGCTAATAAAATTTGTGGGTGACAAAAAGTTGGGAGGTATTGCCAATACGGAGGAGGACTGGAATATCATACAACATGATCTGGACAACCACGTAAACTGGAGTAATAGAAATAGGATGAAATTTAATAGTGCAAAGTGCAAGGTTATGCATTTAGGGACTAACAACAAGAATTTTTGCTATAAGCTGGGGACATATCAGTTGGAAGTGACAGAAGAGGAGAAAGACCTGGGTGTATAGGTTTCAGAGTAGCAGCCGTGTTAGTCTGTATTCGCAAAAAGAAAAGGAGTACTAGTCTCTAAGGTGCCACTAGTACTCCTTTTCTTTCTGGGTGTATAGGTTGATCACAGGATGACTATGAGCTGCCAGTGTGATGTGGCCATAAAAAAGGATAATGCAGTCCTAGGATGCCTCAGTTGAGGTATTTCCAGCAGAGACAAGGAGGTGTTAGTACCATTATACAAAGCACTGATGAGACCTTGTCTGGAATACTGTATGCAATTCTGGTCTCCAATGTTTAAGAAAGATGAATTCAAACTGGAACAGGTGCAGAGAAGGGCTACAAGGATGATCCGAGGTATAGAAAACCTACTTTACGAGAGGAGACTCAAAAAGCTTGGCTTGTTTAGCATAACCAAAAGAAGACTGAGGGAAGATGATTGCTCTCTATAAGGTGCCATGGGCTAAGAGGGAAGGCCCTCTCATGGATCAGTAACTGGTTAAAAGATAGGAAACAAAAGGTAGGAATAAATGGTCAGTTTTCAGAATGGAGAGAGGTAAATAGTAGTGTCCCACAGTGGTTTGTACTGGGACCAGTACTGTACAACATATTCATAAATGACCTGGAAAAGGGGTAAATAGGTGGCAAAATTTGCAGATGATGCAAAACAACTCAAGATAGTTAAGACCAAAGCAGATTGCAAAGAGTTACAAAGTGACAAAATTGGGTGACTGGGCAACAAAATGGCAGATGAAATTCAATGTTGATAATGGCAAAGTAATGCAAAGTAAGTCCCCAATTTATAGCAAAAACATAATCCCAATTTATACATATAAAATGATGGGGTCTAAATTAGCTTTACCACTCAAGAAAGAGGTCTTGGAGTCATTGTGGATAGTTCTCTGAAAACATCTACTCAATGTGCAGCGGCAGTCAAAAAAACCTAAAAATGTTGGGAATCATTAGGAAAGGAATAGAAAATAAGACAGAAATATCATATTGCCTCTATATAAATCCATGGTACACCCACATCTTGAATAATGCATGCAGATGTGGTTGCCCTGTCTAAAAAAAAAAAAAAAAAATTGGAATTGGAAAAGGTTCAGAAAAGGGCAACAAAAATGATCAGGGGGATGAAACAGCTTCTATATGAGGAGAGATTAATAAGACTGGGACTTTTCAGCTTGGAAAAGAGACAACTAAGGGGAGATATGATAGAGGTCTATAAAATCATGACTGGTGCGGAGAAAGTAAATAAGGAAGTGTTATTTACTCCTCATAACACAAGAACTAGGGGTGAAATTAATAGGCACACGTTTAAAACAAACAAAAGGAAGTATTTCTTCACACAACGCACAGTCAAACTGTGGAACTTTGCCAGAGGATGTTGTGAAGGCCAAGCCTATAACAGGGTTCAAAAAAAAAACTAGATAAATTCATGGAGGACAGATCCATCAATGGCTGTTAGCAAGGATAGGAAGGGATGGTGTCTGTAGCCTCTCTTTGCCAGAAGCTGGGAATGGGCAACCGGAGATGGATCACTTGATAATTACCTGTTCTGTTCATTCCCTCTAAAGCACCTGGCATTGGCCACTGTCGGAAGACAGGATACTAGGCTAGATGGACCATTGATCTGACCCAGTATGGCCATTCTTATATTCTTATGCAAATATATCAGAGGGATAAGTACCAGAGAGGGAGAGGAGTTATTTAAGTTACCTGCCAATGTGGTCACAAGAACAAATGGGTACAAACTGGCCATCAACAAGTTTAGGTTTGCAATTAGGTGAAGGTTCTTAACCACCAGTGGAGTGAAGTTCCGGAACAGCCCTCCCAGAAAAGCACTGGGAACAAAAAACTTCATTGGTTCTGTGGCCTGCAGGATGTCAGATTAGATGAGGACGATCGTCTCTTTTGACCTTAAAGTCTATGAGTCTGTGACAAGAGCATGGTGGGAAGGGGAGGTGAGAAAGATACTCTGGTAGATATTAGAATGGTTTCTCCACCAGTCCAATAAGGACAGAACCCTGACATGTGAATCAGCATGTCCAGTAGGTATCTTGATTGACAATAGACAGACTTCAACCATCCCTGCAAGCACCTCTGGTGAAGTCTGGCATGTTGAGTTACGTACATTCAAAGGCCATATGCCCCAAAAGCCTCAGACAAGTTCTTAAAATAGTCTGAGGGTGGGATTGGAGGGAGTTGCAAAGATCTAGAATAACCTGAAACCTGGCCTGTGGAAAAGAAGCCATTTCCACCGCTGAACTGAGTACTGCCCTAATGAATTTGATTCTGGGTAAAGAGTTGATTTGTCCTTGTTTATAATCAGGCCCAGCTAGCTGAACAGAGACTGGATCCCAATAAGACTACCCTCCACCTGTTCCTGGAACAACCTCAAAATAACCAGTCATCCAGATACATGAATACCTTAATGCCAGTCTTCCTGAGGTGAGCTACTACCTTGTCATGCATTTTATAAATACTCTGGGAGCTGATGATAGGCTAAAAGGAAGGACTGTAAACTGGTACTAAAAGGTCTGCCATCACAAACCTGAGGAATCTTTTGTGGCTCTGGTGGGGATAGCCACTTGGAAATAGGCATCTAGCAAATCAAGAGCAGCACACCAACCTTTGGGATCCTGGGAGGACTAGTGGAGGTGTTATGCGGTCTACAAACCCCACATAAAACACAGGCAGGAAGGGGTTAAGAATCCTCCCTACCTGCAGTCAGCAAAAACTACCCCATGCTGGCTCAGCTGTGGGAAATGTCAATTATGAAGAGACAAGACCACAGCTGCTGTAGCTAATGAGGGGAAGCTCACGTATAAAGAGGGAGGAACAGGATGAGAAGTAACAGATGAGCTTGGGACTTGAAGAGGATAACAATTCTCTACCAGAGGCACTCACACCAGGCTGCCTCTGAGACACTTATAACCCTCTGGAAGTACAAGGGAGGTAGACAGAGATGAAAGCCTTGACAGCCAAAGGTTTTCTAACTCTTATGTTTATAGACTCTGCCTTTTTTTATTGATTTGATTTAAGTCAGTGTTGCCCAGGTTAAGAACTGACCAGGCTACCTTGTCCATCACTGCTGACAAGAAGCCAGGACTTTCTATAAAAGTTTTTACTAATAATCAGGTCAGAAAGAGGCCTTGGGCGAAGTAGATGTTGTCTTCAGTAGCTGGAGGGCTGGGCTGTAACCAGAGGTGCTGTTTTTCCTGACTGATTCTGTGTTTATATAAAAACCTAGTGGTTCTTCTGTTTGAACCTGTGCACAGCAAGACCTCAAGTGTAAACCTGTGCAGAGAAACTTTGTTGGGCCAAAGACTCTTTATGCCTTCCAGTTTCCGGAGAGAAAGAAATAAAGGGAGAAATTATGGGAGGAAGAAGACATGCAAAGAGTAGAAAGAAACGAAATCCGAGATGTAGGCATGAGTGAGGAGGCAGAGTTAAAGTTGGTTAGCAGACCTTACCTCTGAATTTCCTGACTAAGAGTCTCACATTAAGGCTGAATTAAAAGAGCTGTTTGCATTAATAGACCAACTAGTTTAAAAACAACATTAACTAGTAGTAAGGATAAGATTTTGTCACAGAGATCACAGATTCCGTTACTTTCAGAAACCTCTGTGATATTTTCAGCTTCAGCCCTGTTCCCTGAAGTGGGATGGCTAGAGCTGTCAGTCAGCAGAGGCCCTGGAGCTGTGAGCTGCTGCGGGTGATGAGGGCTCTTGAGCTCTGAGCCACTGCAGGTGGTGGGGACCCTGGAGCTCCGAGCTGCTGAGGCTTTTGTGAATTTTTGTTTATTGCTCGTGACCTGTCCGTGACTTTTATTAAAAATAACCAGGACAAAATCTTAATCTTAACTGGTGGTACTGGCAAAATCCCATTCACATAAAGTGGACTGATGGGTTGGGCACAGCATTTTTCTTCCACTTACTTTATATTTTCCAATGAGAGGGTGTCGGCCCCCTGTGATTAACATATCATCCCCCCGGTCCAGGATAAAACGAACTGCATGACCAGTTCTAAATTAAAAATGAAAAAAAGGGAAGAAGGGTTACACTTCAGACAAAGTTATGGACGCTACTAAAAGGATGGCTATTTCCCAGGGGCCCAAATCTAGCAGAGTACAAAGGATGTGTTTAAATTTAAGCATTGACTTAAGTGCTTTGGTGAACAGGGATGGCCTGAAGCACCTGCTTAATTTTAATGGGATTACTTGTGCATAAAGTACACGCTACTTATGTGCTTTGCTGGGTCCAGACCCATGACAGAGAATCTTCTTTTCCCTTTTTGAAAAACAGTGAGTTAACTAAGTGTAACTTTCTTGTGTAGACACTTATTTTGGTTTTAAGAATGCCTTATATCAATTTAGCTTGAGTCAGTAAGGAATCAACCTAGGCTAAATCAATATAACACTCTTAAAACCAAAATGAGTGTGTCTGCACCAGAAAGTTGCACTGAGTTAACTAAATCAAATTTGAAACTGATGTGGCAAGGTCAGTACAACCCCCATGTGTGGACAAGGTCCCACTTTGACAGGTTGGTAGTGCCCCATAAGCTTGTCAAGAGTTTTGAGAGCATTTCTGGCGGACACCAGTCTCAGCTCTGTTTAGATCGCATCACCTCAGCCCAGATTATAACCCTTCAAGAGTAGAGTTGAATATAACTCTGACAGGTTTTTGTGGCTTGTAGTATAGAGGGAGCATCTCTGGGAAGGGAAGGGACCTGGTGGGTAATATTTATTCCTCCCCTTTTCCCTCTTACAACAGGGAGCCACACTTACTTGTTTGCTGCCACTGCAGCAACAGATGCCAACAGACCAGCTTTCCCTACTTTCCCACCGAAAGCTCCACCGATCCTTTTTACATGGCACATGATCCTATTGGCTGGAATCCCTAAACATGAGGCCACCATTTCCTGTAAAGTCAATATCCCTTTTTTTATACCATTGCAATTTTAAAGGGACCCTGTCAGCTCAAATCTGGCCCAAATTTAAGTTTTGCAAAAAAAGTTTATAGAAAAGACCAAGTTATGTCTCCAGGATTTTCTTTCTAATTCCCAATGAAACATCTATTTTTCAACAAATAAATACCCCCAAACAACATGTGCACCCAAATACTGCAACAGGGAGAACCTGAAAGTGAAACTGGCTATAGACAATTGTCCAAGCTGAGAGAAATTCAGGAAGTAAGCAAAATTCATAATAAGGACATTAAATTTTTTGAATGTTTGGTTTTAATAATCTAAGGCCTTATTAGTCACAGATGAAGAAATGTGTTTGTTTCCAATATAGGGCTGATTGACATTTATGAAACACAGCCAAGAAAGAATGCAGATTTTTGTTATCAATGATATAAAAGTAACACACACAGAAAATACGAGCTGAATAATGGGCAAAATATACCTAATACAAAATCTCAGCATTTTGTTCAAAATGCATTCTGCTTTACTAGCCATCTGTGTAGCTAAGACAAGATAATTCTGCAATACTAGGTTTTAGCCCAGACCTGAAGAAGCATAGGCATCGATTTCCCCTCTGCCCAGTGAGTGCTCGACCCCCGCCGGCGCCGGCCCCTATCCCACCTCTTCCCACCCCCGTTCCACCCCTTCCCCCAAGTCCCTGCCCTAACTATACTCTGCCTCCTCCCCTGAGCATGCCATGTCCCTGCTGCTCCCCCTCCCTCCTGGAAAGTCCTTAGCACGCCAAACAGCTGTTAGGCAGTTGGGGGCAGGAAGCGCTGGGAGGGAGGGGGAGGAGCAGGTACGCAGAGTGCTGGGGGGGGGGAGGAGGAGGGAGGAGCTTGGCTGCTAGTGGGTGCAGAGCAGTTAGTTCAACAAAAGATATCACCTCACCAACCTTACCTCTCTCATGTTAGGTTTTGTGAGTTTCCCCTTTATATTTCTGGCAGTAGGCTGTTGTCACCACCCCAACTAATGCATGTACAAAGCACCTAAGAAGATGGGAGTGGAGCATGCTTAGCACTTCATAGGGAGAACTCGGTACCTTAAAGGATCGTGCCCTGGGAGCACAGACTACTTTCAGAGGCAACTGAAGGGCTTTTACCCACTCCTCACCTTGGTGCCAGAGAGATCAGTGCACAGCTGATGGGTCAGCGGTGCTGAGCTGGCATGCTACTGGTGTACTGGAGGGCAATGGACATTGGATAACCCAACTGTGTAATTCACATGTTCCTACTGCATCATAAACTGTTGAAGATGGATTTTCAAACCACACACAAAGAGTCTTTAAAGAATTGCCTAAAAAGGCTCTCCATTACCTGGATAAGTGCTGGATGCTGGGTTGACACATACACGTCCATTTCTTTATCCTCTCCTTTTGGTACAACAAGTGCACACTGAGTCTCCATGTAAAAATGTTCCTGTCCCCCGATATGGATCTCCCCTGTTCCAAAGATAAAGACTCAAGTGTTGCTGATGGGCTGGGTGGTAAAAGGGGGAGGAATGAGGAGGCTAGGCTGAGTATGCACCTTACACAAAACATAACATTCAACGTACTTGATCAACACAGCTGCTGATGCTACTGTTGTTAAGGTGCAACCAGGCAAGAGAAACCAGCTGCAGCAGGTGCAACATCTAGCATAAAAATATGAGCCAAACTCTCTGCTGGTGTAAACTGGCCCTGCTCCATTGATATCAACAGAACTGTGACATATTGTCAATATCAAGCTAAGCGTCTTGAGTCTGGAATGTGGAAGGCTTGAGAGTGTTGACAGGATCTCGAACCAGCTTGTGTTAATCAGATCAGACATGGAATACAGGAATTTTTTGCGGAAGGGAAGTGCTATTCGTGGTTGTTCAGGATCAGCACCAAACAGGCCATGTCTGATGCTGGGGAAGAAAGGGAGGAATTGGTGGTTGAAAGGGAACAGACTAACTGGAGGGTAAAATCCAAATTCTGCAGGGCATATGTCAGCTGTTGTTAGTCACCTGATTGGTTTCAATTGAGCTATGACAGTTTACACCAGCTGAGGATCTGCGCCCTGCAACTCCAAAGCCCCACCATGTATTCTGGATCAACATTTCCATATTGTAGATTGTCACTTTTGTATCACAGTAAAACAGAGACAGGAAAGTCCATGATAAATAATGGTAGGATTATATTTTTTCTCATAAATTAATCAGATAGTAGTGCTGTACTGGTGTTGCCTAATAGGCACAGTACATCAGTTGCACTTAAAAGGGACATGGGAAGGAGCAATTTAAGTGCCACTCTTTGAAAGTCTGTCCCTATAAATTTTGATGAAGATTTGACAATTTCCATTTTGCCCAGATCCATTTGGCTATCAGACTTCAAACTGGCAGAAGCTCTCATAAACCTCCCGCCATCCACCCAACGCATTCTGCACTTTACCTTCAAGAATTTGATCAACCGTTTCAAATGCTTCATCAACATTTCCTTGTTCTAGTCTTCTTTGTGGCTCAAAGAATGAATTGTGCTTTATAGCCTCCTGCAGTGGTGGAGAAAACACACACAAGTTTGAGAATTTTAAATATTCTCTTTTTTTCCCACAGCATTTTATTACCAATATGATTACCATGCACCTTACACAAAGATATGGGGAACTGGGTACAGAGAGTTATCAGACTACCAAATTCCATCACAGTATTCCAGAAGTTTAGGATTTTATACATTGGACAAGAAAATGTTGCTGTGACTCAATCTTGCATTACCGATAACCTCTGCTTTCCCACAGAATGCTAGTGCAGAGGTATTTTATTAATTATACTATTTCCCCAAAGGCTGTTTGACAGCTGTCCAGTAGGACTCTCCCTAGGACAAAAAGGGAAGTCTGGTTTGTGGTGAGGAACAGAACATCTTGTAAGTGACCAAGATGGAACAGAAAGAGACTGGACTATATGGTTAAGATAGGAATAGTCAGTATGGGTTTTGCTTCACAATGCTTTTCTTCTCCTGATATGCAAGCCAGTCTCTATCACATCAGGGGAGCATACACTTCAGTCAAACTCCCCAACAGTAATGGCTACTCTAAACAAAGACAAGTTCTCAACTGCCACATAACAAAGCAAGTCTCTAATACACAAGTTGCTGGTCTGAACGAGGCTCTAAAGTATAAGTCAAAATCCGCCCTGTACTTCAACCCACTGAGATCTGTGAGAGGTTGCTAATATTTTATTTATTTAAGCAGAGAAATGGGGCAGAACAGGCCCCATTTAATTTTAACTTGCTCCTATTTATAGGCAGAGTTCCCAGATCAGGAATTCTGAATTGTTGTCATTCACTGGGTAATTCCAAGAACCGCTTTCCTGGAGCAGTTGGTACTGTCTGAAGAGAGAGCAAGAACACATCATAATCCCAGAAAGGAACAGGCAGGGGAATACTTAGATGTGAAAGATCCCTGTTTGTTACTATATGTTGAAGTGAAGATCTTCCTTAAGAACTAACTAACCAACCAAGTGCAAGTGGAAAATTGGCGAAATTCTGCTCTTTTTACATGGACATCATTGGGTATGTACTAGTATAAGTGACAGCAAAAATTTTGCCCTTAATCCTTAAAAAGATAATCCAGTTAGTCACACTTCACTTGTTATGAAAAAAAAGTAAATAGCAAGTGAAGAGTAAACAGCTGCTTTCCCTGCCCAAGATAAGTTAGTGAAAAAGCAAGAAGGATGAGGCTAATTATTACCTCAACAGTCAGGATCACCGGCTCCAGATCTTCATACTCTATCTTCACTTTTGCAGCTGCTTGTTTGGCATGAACATCTGAATCCGCAACCACACCACAGACAATCTGACCCACGCAAATTACCTGCAAAGTACCGTGGAAATACTTCCAGTATTCAGATGATCCCCACGTGTGGTTACTGAAATCCTGGACTCAAATGAATAGTGTTCACATTTCCCTTTCTAATTTTTGTTTTGGTTTAACCTTTTTTATTTGCTATAAACCTTCCCCTAAACCAATACACTAGTAGAAGTATCAATGTTATTTGGAATCAAGCACAGCATTTTCAAAAGTCTCTAAATGACTTGGTTCCTAAGTCCTATGGACTTCCCATGAAACATAGGCTCCCAAGTGCCTGAGTCACTTCTAAAAACGAGACTTGGGAGCCTACGTGACTGAGAAGATATCTGCACTGTGATTGGAGGTGTGAGTGTAGCATGTGTAGACATATCTGAACTGACTTCAACCTACCTAGCTCACGCGCCAATAGCAGTGAAGCCACAGTAGCACAGACTTAAGTGTGGGCTGGGCTGCCCAAGTAAATACCCCGTGTGGGCTTGTGCCGCCCAGCCCACGCTGAAGCCCATGCTGCCACGGCTGCACTGATACTGGTGCTCACACTAGTTAGATTACAGCTAGCTTGGGCATGTCTACATGTGCTGCACTCAGCCCCTCACTCCCAAACTGCTATGTAGACATACCGTCAAGTTCTTTAGAAAAGATTACCCTATATCCTGACTAGTCTGATTCATCTGGTTTAAAGAGGTATGTCACAGAGTTTGGTTATTTTGATACTTAGAAAGGAAATGGAAAAAGAACTAAGAAGTTGACTCATACACATGATACATGTGTAACATACACATGATACAAAAATTCAAGAGTCAATATTGTTCCTGTTTATTTTAATTATAAATCAAGGATCAAAGAGACATCACCAAAGAAAAATCATAGCTACTGACACTTTATACCTTATCTTTTGCGAATATAACCTCTGGATCACTGTAATAGTAGAACTCGTTTGTGGCTGGGACATCCTGAGCTGTTATAATATCAAACACTCCTGGTGCTTTGAGGGCCTCTGATGTATCAATAAATCTAGGGGGAAAGTATAAAGTAGTTAGCTCCACACAGTGTTGCATGTGAAGTAAGATGATACAATACATACATAGGCAGCCTGTGCCACAAGACTGCTCTCACACAGCTCTTTGTGGAAGCTGCTGGTCACTGTCTTTATCCTCCTTAGAGATAACAAGATCGGGTAGAGAGGAAGGGAAGGCTGTAGGTGAGCTGTTTCCCTTCCAGAAAAGGCTTGCTTTGTAATAAGAAAGTCACTGTTCCTTTCCCACATTAGAGACAGCGGAATTGTGGTGGAGAGGATGGCAGTGGCTCATTTGCTCCATAGAGAAATATCACCTATGAAACACCCAGCCCCTTGCTGTGCACTCCAGCTCTTTTGGTAGAGACAGAAAGAACTCTATTTGGTCCCATCCTCTACAAGGTACACCTTTGTCCCAAAGCAAGAGAGAATCTTGTATTATAACGACTGAACGTTAAAAACAAATACGTGTGTTGTAGTCTGTGAGAAGAGCTCAGACGCTCTCTCACTTGTTTGACTCTACATATGTATTCTGCCTGGATAGTATAAAATACAAATCAAACCAAGGGATTTCAGGCCAAGATTTGTATTGGTATTACCTAAATACCAAAAGTTTTGTTAACCCTGCAAATTTAGGTACCATCTCCTGTCTAATGCCAATGCTAAAGAGATAATTAGCACACAGTGCTCTGAATAAATTATAAATTAGTAAAATAGTGTTAGGTCAGAGATTTATTGGTGTAGTTCTGAAACACAAAAGAAGGTTGGGTGTGTCAATCTCTTCTGCATTAGATGAAGAAGAGATCTGTGGCACAGAGTGGTAGAATCAATAATGCAACCAGGTTACTTGCTGACAAGTACAAATATTTAGTAGATTAGTTTAATTCATGGGGTGATTTTAGTTAAACTCTGTATTAGTTTTAAACATGTTTTACAACAATTTAGCTTGCACCTGTTAACACACAAGCTAAACTGCTGTAAACCAGGTTTAAACTGACATGAGTGTCCAAACTGCATTGGTTTAACTAACTCAGGGCAATCTTAGTTATACTAGTGCATCTTTTGTGAGCAGCTCAAACCTTACAAAAATGCTGAGCTGGTATTCAGATTAGTATTCCATCATCAGAATGCTCTGAGTGTCTATCCTCTGTTACAAAGCAGAGTGGCTGAGATTTTCAAAGCAATCTAGGGAAAGTTGTGCATCTAAATGCCCTACACTGCTCTGAAAATCTCAACCAATGCATTCATGGTTATACTTTTCTTTGCGGCATTTACGCACTTACACAATCTTTGCATGGGCTCTGGAACTGGTTACCACAGCCAAGAAGAGCTCTTCATCCACAGCACGAATGTCATCGCAGTAAAGAGCTTCACCAGTGGCGTGTTTTATACCAGCCTGGTGCATGATGGGACGTCCTACTGGATCCCTGGGAAGCTGCTCTGGGTTTACTTCCTGCTCAGCAAAAAAACCAATCCCCAGCCGAAGAAAGACAAGTCAGCGTGTCCTTATCTTAGTGTCTGAAAATCTCTGTTTAACAACACCAACTTCTGGCGTAATATTATATACAGATTAGGCTGGAGCATTTACTAAACTGCTGGTCCCCAGAGGTCGCTTTAATCCCTCCTATGCAATCTTCTCCAGGAGTCTACCCATTTTGTTTCTAGTTTCTCCTGATTTTTTTCTATATTTGCTATGTCCTTTATGTCACAAAGTAACCAAAACAGAATGCAATGTTCAAGAGGACAATGTGCTGTCTTATTGATACATACAGTGGTGCTGTAATAATTTTCTGAATTATTCTCAAGTGGCTTCTGTTGTTCATTTCACCTTTTTGGCAGTACAGTGCATTGAGCTATTCATCATGACTCCTGGATTTTCCCCCTGAAAGCTTACAATTAATTCAGCACTGCTCAGTATGGACAAGCAGTTTAAATGTTCCTTCCAATGTGCATTCCCTCATAGCTGCCTGTGAGGAATTTAATATGTGACTCCATTGCCTATTAATTTTATTTTTCTAGGTCTTGCTTGAGAAATAATTTTTTGCCATCAGCAAATATTGTCATGTACTCATTGACCCCCCCCGCCCCTCCTCTCCAGTCCATTAATAAACATCCTGAACTACTGATCCCACTGACTCCTCACTACTAACCTTTCCCTATGCTGAGAACTGGCTATTTATTCATATTTTCGAATCCTCTTTCCCCCTACAGTCTCCAATGCACAGGTAGTTTGATTAACCTCTCCTTCCTCCAGTAGCTCCCTCCCTGTTTTCTTTTTTAGTCAACTGTCTGCTACTGGCAATATGCTGAGAAATGAGTTTTAATTAGATGTCTCCTACCATGAACTTCCTGATTGTTGGACTCCCCAAACCAGCTCAACTGTCCTCTAACAGAACATTACAATAGTCTTATCTGAATAAGCACAGATCTTTCAGCATTTGCATTTATTTCCCTGCTGTTAAAAGATTATATTGCTCATATTACAAAGTAAGACCAAGGCATAGACTACAGATTTGCCGAAGATAAGTACTGACAGCTGTGCACTGGCTTGCTTAGAAATCACTCATGCAACACAATGCTGAATAATCTAAATAATAAAATATACCAACTTGTATTGTTTAGTCACTGCCTGCTGACGGGCTGCTGGTGGTCTCTAACATCTTAAAAAGGAATCCAAGACATGAATATCTGGCGTATGGAAAGCAGTTCGGTCTAGTGCCTGGCAGCACAGGACTGGGACTTGGGGGAATTGAATTCTGTCACTGTCCTGCTAGGTTGACCATGGGTAAGCCACTGCACTTGTTCCCCTAATCACCCTTTGCTTATGTAGATTGTAAACTCTTCAGGGCAGGGACTGTCTACTACAGCCTTGTCTACACACACAAATTGTAATGAGTTCACAATCAGTTTTGAAGCAAGTTAAACTGGTGCATCCCACTTGTGTGCAGAATCTGAAAATCAGTTTAAGTGTCCCTTATAACAAATTATCTGAAGTTGTTTACCTTAATTACATTGATATATGATGCTCTAAAACTGACTTCAGAGTATCCACAAAAGGAGTCTACATTGACTTAACTAAATCAGTCTACCTTAAGATAAATCAGTTCAACTTGTGTATGTAGACAGGGCTTGTATGTTTGTACAACACCTAGCATAATGGGGTCCTGAGCTTGATAGCAGCCTCTAGGAGATACTTGAATACAAATTAATGATAACGGGTTTGCCATTTCAAAGATCGCTCCAGGTTCACTGAGGAATCAAAGACTGCAAACAGAAAATGCAGCGAGACTAACACAAGCACAAATAAATCAGATGCTACCACTGCATTGAAAGGAAATGTAATCTCATTTTTATTAGCACATAAACCTATGCAGAGCCGGAGCTCAAATGATGGTTCTCTGAACCATCAGCCACCCTTCTCCACATACTTTAACATGCCACTAAAAAAGAGATTCTATTTCCTTTCAGTGCCGTGGTACCTTTTTGTTTATTAGTGTGTGCTATATTTTCTGCCTGTTTGACATCTTTCGTTCCTTTTGTGAATTCTAATTCTAATGAATGGGGGATGTGATATGGCAGCTGTACCCTTTTGCTGTCACTTTTTAAAGGCTGCTGTTCTACTGTCACAAGAGCTTAGTGGGACCCAAAAAAGGATTTGTCATTTATACAGGTAAGATTATCCAGAGTTATAGCAAGGATCTAAAAATGCCAACAAACAAGCAGTTTCAGAGGGGATTTAAACTCTCATGCTTGAGTGTATATGTCAATCTCTAACTACCGGGGATAGTGTTTCCCCTGTGGGGGGCTCTCCATCCTCTGAAGCTTCTGGCACAGGTCACTGTCAAGATACTGGACTAGATGGGCCTCACTGATCCATCCAGTGTGCAGTTCTATGTTCCTACATGCAATGCAGTCAGAAGTACAGCTTATGAGCAGCTAATCAGCCCATTTATCACAATATATTAATATCCTGTTGCAAGTTTTCAATAGCTCATCATTCACTACAAATGAACTTTTTGAACCTACTGAAAAACCTTCTAAATCTGTAAATGGCTTCATGTGACACCGAGTGGAGCTCTGTGCTTACAGGAAAATCAACTGAAAAGGAAAGCTATTCCTCTTGTGAAATGGGGATGACAAGTTTTGTCTACAATGTTCAATTTTATAAGCAGTGTGAAAGCCAGTGGCGTATGAAGCCAAACAATTACTTAAGTTTCTCCCTGTTCAAACATGTTGTGATTATGAAAATACTAATGAAACACTGACTCTGACCTAGATTTGGTTCTATAAGTAAAAGGAATGCTTTCATCCCTTGTGATATGTTGTTGTTACAATGAGGTATTTTTTCTGCAGTTGTGTAAGCCTCCAGATGTGGTTGTTCCTGACTTTTCTCATGTTTTAGCAAGGAGAAAAGAGCCACAGTCATTCTTTGCTTTTGCTAGAAAACTGACTTTAAAGTAGGATATAACTTACTATGCCTGATTCCCCTCTCCCTTTACACTAGTAAGAACCATGTGTTTACTGCAAGAAGTCAGAGTTATACCAGCAGAGAATGTGGCTCTCTTCTGTGTAATTTCACATGAAAATAATTTTGTTTAAGAGCTATTGACAATAGCACATTATGATAGAATAATAGATTCTTCAAGCACTTTGCATCCTCCTTCTATCTCTTTTTCCCCCCCGCTACCTCAGATTTATACTGGCTTCTTTCTGTCCCTACATCACCACTGGTACAAGAGTCTTCTCCCTTGCAGCTACTGCACTCTGGAACAGCCTTCCTGTATCTCTTTGCCTCATCGATGCCCTAGCTCATTTCAAATTTCAACATCTCTTTCCACCAATTACCCTTGCTGCTTAATTTCTCTTCCCCTCTGTTTTTATTTAACTCTAATTGGAACATTTTAAGATACAATGTTATATTAATACAACAGAAATGTTTTCAGTTTTCCATTGGCTCCCATTCCCACTGTCACATAGGGTGTAGCCCCAGGAATAATGCTGCTGTTTCCAGATCACCATCACGAGAGCTGGGCATGAATTTTTGGACTAAACTTTTTTAATCAGAAAATGCCAATTAGCCAAAACCAGAATGTCGCAAATTGCCTGTTTCAAAAAATTTTTTGAGGGAAAAATAAGCTTCAGAATTGTCAAAAAGTCCTCTTTTGACATTTTCTAAATGAAAAGTTTGATTTTTCAGTTTGAAATGACCTTTTGTAATTTAAGTTAACTGATAGGAAACAAAAATGTAAAAAAAGTCAAAATTAAAATGAAACATTTTGAAATTATCTAAATAAAACATTTTGATTGCCTTGATACAAATTGTTTTTTGATTTTTGGTTCATGAACATTTTTGAGATTTAGACTTTTTGTCCCAATTTGGGATGGGAAAGAAGATTTTGAAATCTCAAAAATTCTTGCAGAACAGGAAAATTTTGTCTGCACAAGGACATGAAGAATAGCTCTCTGCTCCCCTCTGCTGCTAAATTTTACTTGAACACATGATGATTTGCAAAGCATATTAAACTAGTGTTAAATGTAAACTAGTAATAAAAAAGGGAAAGCAGCATTTTTCTTCTAAATAATAAAGTTTCAAAACTGTACTAAGTCAATGTTCAGTTGTAAACATTTGAAAGAAACAACCATAATGTTTTGTTCAGAGTTACGAACATTTCAGAGTTACAAACAACCTCCATTCCCAAGGTGTTCATAAATCTGAGGATCTACTGTACTTCATCACATTTCTTTATTCCATTCCAATAGCTTATATCCCTGTAAGGACTGAGCATGTACTAAAGTAGGGATAAGTTAAAATAACTAGCGTTAAGAAAACTGAAGCCATAATGACAAATGAGCTTAAATCAAAAGCACAGAGTTCAGCATCCTCAGTGCTTTGTAAAATCTGTATCTGGCCTTCACTGCTTGGGCTCTTCTTGTACCTTAATTTTTAACAGTGTCTTTTAAACTGAAAGGGAGTATTAAAAGAGCCTCACTGACCTGGTATATTTGTTCACTCTGGGGCATTTTGGGTTGGAAATCTTGTAGGACACTCTTATAGTTCTCTGATATGTCAGGACACCGATGGGGGTCCTGAAAGAGAAGTGTTTTAATAATAATAGTTATGTTTTCACAACACAAACATTTCTATTAAAAGAATTAGCAACCACAGTGATTGAACATAAACCTCTCAAGTCTCCCCCTATTTAGAAGAGCCCAAAAAAGTAGCTGAAAATGAAGTGAAGAGTGTTGAGCATTCATAAAATATTTATTTAAAAAATACAAAAAAAAAAAAAGCATTTGGAGCATAACACCACAGCTGTTTCAAGAGACCAATGAAAGGGACTGCAGTAAGAAGAGGTTAACTTTGTTTTGAGCTATGAACAAAACTGACATAGAACCTTTGCTGCTGGTGGTGATAGGTGAGAAAGGAAAAACCCGGCTTGACTCTCAGAGCCCAAGCTAAGTTTGCAAGGCTGACAATTAGATAAAACATTCTTTTCTTTGGAACCTGAACAGATTTAATACAGGAATCCTTCAGAAAGAAAACTCAAAATTAGAACCACACAATGATATCTGAACAGATTTTTGTACAAGTTTTCTCTCCAAATCAAAAAATCATAGCGTAGTTAGTTGGTGACATTTATGCACGTTGCAAAGCCATTTATTTATCCCAGCTATTTGTCCTTTTGAGAAGAGGTAGACCACGCAAGATGATCTCACTCTCTTTTTTAAATTTTTTTTATTTTTTTAGTGTGAGAGCTCTTTTAATAGTGGCACTGATATGTTGTCATGTATTTTTAATTTTTTTGTGAACACAGAATTTATGCTCAGTACACGGTACAAACTGGAAAAATAAATACAGAGTACAAGACCTTTCACTAGACTGCATGAAAATAGACCCAGGACAAGAATTTACCATCCTGTTCAATGACTGAAGCACTTCCAGGTAGAATTTGAAGAGGAAACTGACAATCAAAGTCCTTCTATATTCCACCTTCCCACCTGGGGCTGAGCCCGGCAGAGAAACTTCTTTAAGAACCAGTCTGCAAGCTTCATCCAGCATGTGCTCATTCCAATGCCTGGCAAAAATAATAATAATACTGCGATCAGTATATTAGGCACAGTGGAATGAGTTAAATGGTGACCACGCTAACTTGCTTATATCGCAGACATGGGCAAGATCCTTCTCACAATGAAGTCAATTGCAGTTTGGATTTCAGTGGGAGCAATATTGGGAGTTTGATCTTTAACACAGTGTGGTTCACATCGAACAGCTGCTACTCACATGAATAGTCTCAATGAAGTCAACATAATCGAGCCCTATATGCTAGTAAAATAAATCAGCTTTTTTTTAAACTATGAAAATTGGTTTAATTTAGGGCTGTCGATTAGTCGCAGTTTACTCACGCGATTAACTCAAAATAATTAATCGTGATTAGTTGCACTGTTAAACAACAGAATATCAACTGAAATTTATTAAGTATTTTTGGATGTTTTTCTCCATTTTCAAATATATTGATTTCTATTACAACACAGAATACAAAGTGTACAGTGCTCACTTTATATTATTATTTTTATTACAAATATTTGCACTAAAAATAACAAAAAACCAGTATTTTTCAATTCACCTCATACAAGTACTGTAGTGCAATCTCTTTATTGTGAAAGCATAACTTACAAATGTAGATTTTTTTTGTTACATAACTGCACTCAAAAACAAAACAATGTAAAACTTTAGAGCCTACAAGTCTCCTCAATCTTAATTCTTGTTCAGCCAATTGCTAAGACAAACATGTTTGTTTATATTTATGAGAGATACTGCTGCCTGCTTCTTATTTACAATGTCACCTGAAAGTGAGAACAGGCATTCGCATGGCACTTTTGTAGCCAGCACTGCGAGGCCTTTAAGTGCCAGATATGCTAAATTTTCGTATGTCCCTTCATGCTTTGGCTACCATTCCAGAGGATATGCTTCCATGCTGATGATGCTCATTAAAAAAATAATGTGTTAATGAAATTTGTGACTAAACTCCATGGGGAGAATTTTATGTCTCCTGTTCTGTTTTACCCACTTTCTGCCATATATTTCATGTTATAGCAGTCTCAGATGATGATCCAGCACATGTTTGTTTTAAGAACACTTTCACAGCACGTTTGACTAAACGCAAAGAAGGTACCAATGTGAAATTTCTAAAAATAGCTACAGCACTTGACCCAAGGTTTAAGAATCTGAAGTCCCTTCCAAAATCTGAGAGGGATGAGGTGTGGAGCATGCTTTCAGAAGTCTTACAAAAGCAACACTCAGATGCAGAGACCACAGAGTCCGAACCACCAAAAAAGAAAATCAACCTTCTGCTGGTGGCCTCTGACTCAGATGATGAAAATGAATATGCGTCGGTTCACTCTGCTTTGGATCATTATCAATCAGAATCTGTCATTGGCATGGATGCATGTCCTATGGAATGGTGGTTGAAGATGAAGGGACATATGAATCTTTAGCGCATCTGGCACATAAATATCTTGCAATGCCGGCTACAACAGTGCCATGTGAATGCCTGTTCTCACTTTCAGGTGACATTGTAAACAAGAAATCGGCAGCATTATCTCCTGCAAACTGTAACCAAACTTGTTTGTCTGAGCAATTGGCTGAAGTAGGACTGAGTAGGCTCTAAAGTTTTACATTGTTTTATTTTTGAATGCAGTTATTTTTTGTACATAATTCTACATTTGTAAGTTCAACTTTCATGCTAAAGAGATTGCACTACAGTACTTGTACTAGGTGAACTGAAAAATACTATTTGTTTTGTTTTTTACTGTGCAAATATTGTAATCAAAAATAATAATATAAAGTGAGCAGTGTACATTTTGTATTCTGTGTTGTAACTGAAATAAATATATTTATTTGGATGTAGAAAACATCCAAAAATATTTAAATAAATGGTATTCTAGTAGTTTAACAGCATGATTAATCGCACAATTAATCACGATTAATTTTTTTAATCGCTTGATAGCCCTAGTTTAATTCTATTAAAAATTATCACTACACAATAGATAATGGCCTGAACTTTCAAAAGGGACTAGTGATTTTGGATGTCAACTTGAGACATTTTAAAGGGGTCAGATTTTCAGATGATGGATGCTCATCTGAAAGTGGTCTCTCTTCTGAAAATTCTGCTCTTTTGAAGTATATCACACAGTTGATTCTATATGGATACAAATCCCAAGCTGTAAGAATATAAATATAAATATAAATATATTAGCAGGGTTATACCACTGGCCTCAAGATCAAGAAATGGAAACTGAGTGCACAATGTTGAGAGAGATCAAAGGGGTAGCAAAATCTAACAAAAAGATAATGGGTGGGAGGGCGGCTTCAGCTTATAAACTGATCAAATGGCACAACAGGACAGAGTTTAGAGAAACAATTTATCAGCATTTTCAATTATTGCCAGGGCCCACTCCATCACAAAAAGGATATTGCAAGAATTACAGGGGATTCAGAGAAGAGCAACAGAATAATCAAGGGCCTGGCAAAGCTCTCAGTTAAAGAGAGGTTGAAAAAGTCATGACTTGACTTGTGGTCCTAACTGCTTTAGGCACTTTTGAAAATCCCAGCCACTGTATCTATTAGAGCAAATCTTGACACTCAAGAACAATAATACCAACTGTCAGTGCCTAAACCAGAAAAACAGAACATTGTCTGAATACATAGAAAGCCAGTTAAATATAACGGGTTGATCCAAGAGCTCAGACATCTCTCTCACGTACAAACACCTTTGAGGGCAACAATAGATTTTTTGTCATTTATTTTTTATTAGTTTTTGATGAACTGGTTATAAACATGAAGGATATAAACAAAAACTCAGAAAGGCTAATTTTATTTGTTTACATATTTTTATGAGACAGTCATTGCTGTGGCATCTGGTTGTTGTTACAATTAAAAGGAGTGTAATATAGTGTCAGGTAGAGATAATCAATTTAAGGCCCCGATTCAGCAAGCATGTACCTTAGCGGTTTGTTGAATATGGACAGACTTAGGTACATGCTTACGTGTTTTGCTGAATAGGTATCTATTTGAATAAACTGTAGGTCTGCCATGATGTTCAATGAAAAGCTTGCAAAAGGAAAAGGGTTGTCAGGAACTCACACTACATGAGCTGCACAGAAAGCATGCAATTCTTATTTAACATTTTAAATTGGGTGCTCAAAGTGAAAGGAGTATTTATTTAGACATAACAAGTGCCCACAATTCAGGGAATATTAGGGATTGTTTAGGAACAATTAACTCTGTCCTGTCACTATACAGAAGGAATAGAAAACATGTAGAGCACCCTTCTGATCCAAAGGACTCTTTGTAGATCAGTGTCCACTATGTACCACAACAGAAAAGCATACTTATGGCCTGATCTAAAGCCCATTTAACTCAATGGAAAGTCTCCCATTGACTTTAAAGAGCATTACATCAGGGCCTTATTTTCACTTGTGATTAGCACAAGAATTTGAACCCAGGTCTAATGAGTGAGTAAGATAATATCCTATTCCAAAGTGCTACCTAGTTCCGAGATTAATAATAAAACAATCAATGCTTTAAATTACAATACTCAAATATCCTGCCCTCTTTACATAAATGGTAAACTGACTATTCAACCACACCAAGTAGTTATTTATGTTAGCACAGGAGAAATACTAAAAGTGATGTGAACTCCTTCCAAATCCAATTCAAAATTGGGTCATAAGTTGCATGGGAGAAACAGTTCCCAGGGGTTTGTTCACAGACCCTGAAATTTGAGGAGGTTCAAGTTAGAACAAGCTCAGTTTTCTGATGGTTAAATCATGTTCTCATTTTCTCCCATGCTGCTCCTTACACGTGGGAAAAACTCCCAGTTACAACCTGTACAATCAGTGGCATTTCCTCCTTCAGGTCCCTCCTTACAATGCACCTCTGCCAGGAGCATAAACAGAGAAAGCTGCACCTGATATCTGCTAGCTAGGTGGTGAGTTCTGATTACTGCTACTGATTGGCTAAGAACAGTGCAGAGAGCTAGTCAATGTAAAATACCATATCCCTGTCCTCCCCAGCCTCAATGGGGGATGCAAGTTAAAGAAGCCCCTAGACATGCCCTAGTCTGCATTTGGGGCCACACCCAACCCTGGCCGCCATTGAACTGAGGAGGCATAAGTCCCCTCAGGCCCTTTGCTGCTGGTACTGCTAATGCAGGGATGAGTCCTTCTTCAATGCCCACTTTAGAACCCCACTCCCTCATACTAATTAATTAGCAGCCTCTTCGGAAGTTTCAGCACAGATGCTAGAGACTGAATGGATAAAGAACAGGTAGAAGTCCCTCCAGGTCAGGTTGGGGCACAACAGCAAAGTGATGTAGTGACACTAATAAAGCAACTGTACCCACCCTGTGGAGAGACCTTTCAATGACCACAACATTCATTCGTGGACTTTAAAACATTTAGAACAGAAAAGTATAAATACTCCATTCTGGGGTGAGGAGTTGACTTAGCACTTGGGGCTGATCTGTGTTCATCTGGTGGATTATAAATGGCACCAACCATTCTGTAAATAAAGGATCTCCGTATTTATGCCCTGAAATATTAAAAAGCTAACAATATTCAAATCTGAAAGATGTCTAAAGCCTCCAGGAATTCATACGGTACCTCCCTATGAGTGCCTCACAGGTTTGTTTTGCACAGATGGTGGTAGAGCCAACGCCGCCATAGAAAATGCCGAAGTCCATAATTATGTCCGTGCCTTCCGCAAAAAGTACCCTCATCCCAGCATTAGCAATTGGTAGTGAGTTTTCCCGGCGCTGGGCCTGTCGGAATGCTGATACAAACTCCCCCTAACAAAAATCAAAAGGAGGCTAAGAAGTATGCACAGAAATGTAACGTGTTCTAACAGAGATCTACATGAACTAAGGTAATAAATACCATAGAGCATGGATTCTACTTCCAAAACATTTAGCACCATTCATTCCCTTCCCTTAACCATCCAATAGTTCCCTCTTCACTGTTGTCTTGCAAGCAACCCACCTCCCTTTCCATCCCCTGCAGAGCCCCTCTCACAAACAGTTATTGAGAGGTAAGGGGGAATGGGAGAAGGCCACATTTAGAATGGGAGACAAAACTGAAGAGGCTCAACCTCTGCCTAAACTCAAGCACAAATCAAGCCAGTATTTCAACTCTATCTTCTGCTTTTACAGATCTTTTCCTTTAGTCATCTAAATTCAACTAAGTCACATTTTTATTCAAGACCAGAGATGTGTGACTGCCTGCAGGTATCTCCCAAACAGTCTTCTTACCAATTCCCAGAGATATTGCCCTTCCACGGTGTTACAGAATTACTGGTGACACAGCACCAAGCAAACAACCTTGTGCAGCAACTATGCGTGGAAGCATGGATCATGTATCAATCCTACAGTCCCTATGTAGGCAAAACCCTCAGGAGATAACAGGAACTTCATCTGCATAAAGACTGGAGGTCTTGCCAGGCTGCAAATGGGCAGCATCCTGGGATACAGAATATATCAATGCCCTCCAAAACATTTCACTGGTTGGGTGGTTTTTGTTTTTTTTTCAAACCACAGATGGTACTTCCTCCTCCTGTTCTTTCTTTAATTCCATATAAACACTGGTTAAACCATCCTTATCACAAAACAAATCCAAACATCACAGCAACTTTTACCTTCCTGGAATGAGGGATGTGAACAGAGACTAAGACTTCTTCAGGCATAAGGGTATTGTTACCAACTCCGCTGGCAAAAATGTCACTCAAAGAAATCCACCGTGTTCCCTCTATTGGAGAAAACAGAAATGGCAATCTCTGTACAATGAGAAGTGAACTCTAGGCAGTTTATATGTGTAAATCCAATTTAATTGTCAAGGAAGAATATGCAATACTTCTGGGAAAAGAATTACTTAAAGTTCATATAATGTCCCAACAATAGCATGCACCTTAAACGTAAGTGGTCTCTCTATTTTCAATAGTTACCAGAGGAAGAATTTGTATTGTCTTTTCCTTTCTCTTTTTGATCAACTGTTTTGAAAGTTAAAAAAATCACAATTTTATGAGATTAATGATTAAAGCTGGGATTCTGAAAGGGACCGAAGGCAGGGAGGTAGATTTCCAAAGAGAGTTGGGGACCTAACTCAATTAGGCCCTTTGAAATTCCCAGTCCAAAAACCTTCTGACTACTTCGGCACTGTCTACACTACAGAGGGTTTGCTGGTATAGCTATAAACCAAATCCACCCTGTAAGTAATTAACAATAAACAAGGAAATACAAAGGTAAACAGTCCCACAGTTTGACATTCAGAAGACTTAATGTGCCTAAATGCCAATCTGAACATCTAAAAACAGGATTAGGACATCTGATAAGTGTCCCTATATTTGCAAATTACACACTGTTCTGAAATATCCACCTAGTTTACCAATACACATGACCATCTAACAGATCAGAAAAAAGCAACAGCTAGCAGACTTTCTCCTAAAGCATTCCTATTTTATATGTATTTAATTCACCCGTGTGTTTTTCCCCCATCATAAAATGTTTACATGGGAACACTAGGAAATTAAAGTTAATATAATATCTTAGTCAACACTGTGTAAATTGATACACCTTGTTGAAACAGTGTTGGAGTGTTAGGACATTCTAAATATAGCATTATGCTTACAGAAAATAGTGCTCCAATCATCATTAAAACCTACTGCTTATTTATATACCTAAACTGCTAATTATGTCTGTTATCCTCATCATGTTATCCTCATCCCCTCTCCCCAACTCCCTCCATTTGTTTATATACCCGCTTGTTTTGTTTCAAGTTGTGCCCTACTCTGGCAAAAAAACTTTTGCATGTGCTTAACTTTATGCAGATGAGTAACTCCACCAAACTCAATGGGACAGTTCACCTGTGTAAAGTTTAAGCATGTGCAAGTGCTTGCAGGATCAGGGCCTTAGATTGTATATTGTTTGGGGCAGGATCTGTCTAATATGGCACCCAGAACAATGGAGCCCTGATCAGACTGGGGCTGAAGGCACTACCATAATACAAATAATAAATATGATTAATAAGTGTACATTTTCTAAACACTGGTGTCCTTTATGCTTTGCATATGCTGCATAAAGTACACAATGTGTTAGCATCAAAGGAATTGATGTTTAATTCATTAATAATAATTAACCATATTTAATATTTACATTGGTTAGCTTCCACAGGCCTCATCCAGGTCTCAGGCTTCCTACAACCAAAGGATCCTTGGTCCACAAGGTGAAACACCCTCTCCCAATCCAAGGGGAGTGAAATTTCAAAAATGGCTGCCATATTATGGGGATTATTCTTACAAATGCCACATGCAATAATGTGACTGCAATCTAGCCATCCAATAGTAGAAGGAGAGATCCCTATTTTGAAAACCCAGGAAAGGTGAACTGCAAAGCTTTGACAGAGAAAAATAATGAAGGTCCAATATACAAAACAAATGGCTTCTGGAGGTCCCTGGTAGATTATCCCTTGAGTGCACACTGAACATGCTATATTTACAGGTAAAATTATTATTTGTCTATCTGCCAGCTGCAAATTAACACTAGGACCTGGGAGTCTAACTGGGCCTGTTCCTTCGTGTACATCAGTGGTCCCCAGCCTTTCTGTGGGAATAGCATTTTCCCAAACAGCAACGCCTCTCAGCGGCATTTCGGTGGGTGGTTCTCTGGCAGCTGCGCTCGGCGGCAGCATTTCGGTGATGCGGTGTCCTGCGGGAGCCCATAACTGCCCTGGTGGGCGCCATTGAGCCAACAGGCACCGCGTTGGGGACCTCTGGTGTACATCATCACCTGTAAGAAGAGTTCTGTGGCCAATTAATGTCTATGCAGCCCTTTTCTTCAGAGGGTCTGCCAGGAGTCAATTTTTGGCCCTTGGTGAACAATTCTGTTAAGGATACTCAAGAACTAGACTCCTCTCTTAGCTGCATTGGCTCTGCAGGGTTGACAGGAATGAAAATCTGTAAAAACTCTTGTTTGTCACGCAGGTAAGCAGGCTTGTCTCTCAACACAGGCATGGGGTGACTCTGTTGAGTGAGACAGTGTTTTTTTTTTTACAAAGTCACTTTCCGGAGTGGAACTGTATTTTGACAGAAATTCTGGCTCTCATGTCCACCCCTGTGTATTCAGGAAAAATGGCAAAAGAAGTAGTGCACAAGTCCTGACCAGGAAACAACTACGTGGTGAATGTGTTCCTTAGGGTGACGAGTGATGTGTAATGGGGTCACACACAAAGTAGGCATGGTCCATCACAGAATGAGAGGATGCATTTCCATCCTACAATGTGTCTATGCATACAGCACCTGCTTAATTTATTCCCCCTTAGATCAGAATTAAAATAAGCAAGGGGCCACGTGCACAGCTACCTGAATCATGCTGTTTCTTTGGTGTTTTTACTGGTTCCTTGGCTATAGAGGTACACATGACTACGCCTGTGGAAATCCTATGTCCCTCATGTGTTCTCAGTTTCCACAGTCTCCCCATAGACATGGCTTTGTGTGTGGCAGGGAGTGGATTTCTTGAACAACATTAATTGGTTGTAATTTTGTTCCTTATCACACTTCCTACATCTTCAGTACAAATACAGAGAGGGACTGTCACAGGGTGGCTGCCCCTTGTAAAACGAAGCAGTTCCAGCTCCCCTGTGCTAGGACAGGTGCTCCCATTTGACCAGTTAAGAGGATAGTACAGCACCAGGGACTATAAAGAATCTTGGAGAAATTCAGTGAGAGGGAGACCCAATGAGTCCTGCTAGAGACCAGGAGGACTCAAGGAGGTCCTGGAAGAAAGCAGAAGGTGCTTCCTGGGGAAAGGCTGAAGGCAAAGAGAGCAACAGGAGGGGTTTGCTGGCTGGTGTCCCCAAGCCAGAAAACCAGGGTTGGAGACAGGAGGAGCAGCAGAGGCAACTGCCTGCTGGCTCTAAGATAGAGAGGCAGAGACAAAGGCTGGAGAGGGCTGAAGGCAGGCGCGTGGTGGAGGAGCTTTCCTACTGACATCTCCAAGACTAGAGAGCTGGACCTTGAGGAATCATGAGAGGGCCAGTGGAAATGAAGGGTGGTCCCCTGGCTAGGATGCTCTCAGCAGAGAGGCGGGGGGGTGGTGTTCCCTGCGCTACGGTTGGAAGGGCTGAGATGTCCTACTACAAGTTCAGGGAGAGGACTGCACTGGAGAGCCAGTGTGTGATGAGAGACACCAGGGCTGTACGTTGCATGTACTGTAAGGACTATGCTGGGGAAATTCTGGACTACATTTTGTTATTTATGTGCATAGGGCTTTTGTAATAAATGAACCCCACAAGGGCTTTGCTTTTACTTGGGAAGTTGCTTTGGACTATTTCTGAGGAATAATAAGAAGGGAAACTGCGGCATGCCTGCCTGTTGTGCCATGGCCTGCCATTGCAGGGCACTCCAGACAGGGCCACCTTCTTACAGGTACCCTGCCTCTTACCTCTTGATGCCAGGTTGAGGGTACAGTTGCCAACTGCTAGAATGGGATTCAAGTCTGATGTTGACTTTCTACTCATAATGTTTCCACCTAAAGACTAAAAAAAGAAAAAAAAGGACATTATGTCACTAAGTCGTCACCTTTATGTAAGCGTCAGTACAGTGTGAGGATTTACATTGATCAAAGGTCATAAGACTGACAGTGACATAAAATTAATTTTAAAGTCTATTATTTCAGCTGCGAATAAAAATATTATGCACAGACAGAAGCAATTCCATGCAGTTTTGCTAACCCATCCACTTGTAACGTACGGAAATGTTTCTGATCTGCTGTCCTCCCAGAGTTTTTAACTGATGCAAGAGAGCATGGAAAATCTTTGACCTCTCCCCTGGAAGTTTTGAGACTGTGTTTGTCAGGGCATCTTTCACTACAGCCAGACTGCAGGCAGCTCCAAGGGTTAGTCCTGAAACCAAGTTATTGTAAGTATCAAAATGTGAGCATTGCTCCAAAGTCAGGGTATTAAACTATGTCCAGACTGTACTTTTGTAATTATGCAGTGCCTTTTTCTCACAATCAGCTCTCATTAGAATGTGGATAGGAATAAGGCAACATCTTAAAAGTTTTTTGTTACACTGTAATTTAGGAAACAAAACAAATACTGCATCAATTTCAAAATGTGCATGTGCAAACTGGAGTTAAACTAGGACAGGTTAAAAGTCTTTAACAGTCATGGTAGAGAGTCCTTCTTTGTCAAGGGTAGCAGCTAAGCACATCTGGAAATGGGGAGAGAGATGTGGTCTAATGCTCTGAGCCATGAACTCCCAAATTGTAACCCCAGCTCTGACAGACTCTCTCTTTGGCCTTGGGCAAGTTGCTGAAATTTTCTGCCTTGGTTTGCTCATCTCTGTCTCGTTTACAATGGGGATAGTAATATTTACTATCTATCTCGTAGGGCATTTCTGAGGCTTAATTAATGTTATAAAGTGCTGTGAGATCCATGCATGGATTCTCCATAGAGTGTGAGGGGGCAACAACGGGTGTCACCGCAGTCTGCCCACTCCTCCCCCTGGCCCACCCAGTCTCCTATCTCTTCCCCAGAATGAACACTTGATCTACAGAGAAGCCTCTGTGGGTTACAGACGAGGAGAGGGAGAGGTGCTGCAGAGATGGCTGACACTGCCACCTCTTCCATGTAGTAGGGAGGATATCTGAATGTTGAGGGTCCCCTCCATAAGCAGACATTGGAGGACAAATAGCCAATAACTTTGATTCTACACTCCCCCTAGGGCTGACCTCAGCCAGCTAAATTGAAGTAAAAGGTGTTAATCCACTTCGACACTAGGGATTGGGTCATGGTTAAGATTAGGGTTAGATAACACATACTAGCTATCCCAATTTAACCTCAACTTCTTTTCCTAATCTAGACAAACCCATGCTGTTGCTAATGTATCATACATTGGGGCAGGGATCATAGCCATCCTGATCCATGGATGTCTCAGGAATGATTTGCAGAAACATTCACAAGCATCTCTAGACATTCTTGGAGAGCCAGGATGTCTGTAGAGCAGTTCACATCTTCCCCACTAGGGTACGGATCAGTATTATCTTATGCAGCGATATCTCTCTGTGTTTCAAAAGGCAAAAGTAGGGCCTACTTACCATTGTCTGTGTATCTCACCACATTCAGATCTAGGATCCTTGCAGGAGAGATGATAACTGGATGATGCACTCCTTTAAATTTCATTTCAGGCCCTATAGAGTAGAATGAGATTTAGAGAAAAGGAAGATTGCTGCATTTCCAGAACTGTGACTATGTCATTGTTGAGTCATATATTAAGGACAAAGAACACACAAGCAATTCTAAATGCTGCCCGCTACTGTTCATACATACACGGGCACATGCATAACAGGATGTGCTCTGATTCTACATACCCACACTGGTGTTCCCCACAACGAGAGGTGCTTTGGGGTACTTAGTTTTCAGCTCCAGAAGCTCCTTCAGGCTAGCAGGAGAAATCCATATTGTTCTTTCCCCTTGGAAAACAAGAGTTCTTTTTGGCTGATTTTCAGCCATTGTCTATAGGAGAAACAATGTAGATTTAATATTTAAAGCTCCAGAGAGGCAGCGGTTGTCTAGTGAATAGGGCACTGGACTAGGAGCCAAAATAATTCCTTAACCATGGAAGTCACACTTAAACCCTCAAAACTGGGCTTAAGTGGGACTTAAATAGTGCATCAGCCTTATGCTGGCCCTTTGCACAAGGAGGAAATTCATGTTTCATGAATAAAATGCCTAAAACTGACTCAGATGTGTCTAGCAAACAGGATTTATCCTGCAGACTACGCACTTAGAGCTGGATCCTGCACCCTTGGAAATCAATGGAAAATTAATTTGAAAAAAATCCGGATTTGACTGCAATGAAACTACTTTCAACCCTACTCCATAAGTCCTCCCAGCTGCCGTGTAGGCATACCCCTTATCATAGCTGGTGCCTGTAGATAAGGTTGCCAGACATAGGTAGTGCCACCTATAGGTGAAGCTGCCTAATACTATCCATTATAAGACACTGTTTTCAGTTGCTTATAACTAAGGCTACATTTTAATCATGGGTATTTTTAGTACAAGTCACCAACAGGTCATGGGCAGTAAACAAAAATTAACGGCCCGTGACCTGTCCATGACTTTTACTAAAAATACCAGTGAATAAAATTTGCGGGGGGAGGTTGCCCGGGGTGCTGTGGGAGGGCAGCCCGGCTGCTTGGGGGGGGCGTGGTGCGGGTGGCGGTGTGCAGCCCGAGATGTCTGCTGGTGTAGTAGGGGAAGGGTGTGGGCAATGGTGCATGGCCTGGGACTCCCACTGGTGCTGGGGGCGGGGCGGTTGGTGGGACTGGCAGAGTCCCTACCTGGCTCTGTGCCTCCCCCCCACACACAACAACAGCAGAGTTTGGGTGTGGGAGGGGGCAGGGGACGAGGTGAGGTGGGCCCTGGGTGGCGCTTACCTGTGGGGCTCCCCGAAAGCAGTGACATCCCCCCTGCTCAGCTGCTAGGCAGAGGCGTGGCCAGGCAGCTCTGAATGCTGCCTCCACCTGCAGACACTGCCCCCGCAGCTCCCATTGGCCGCAGTTCCCGGCCAATGGGTGCTGCGAACCCAGGGCTCTGGGCGGAGGTTCAGGCAGAGTGCAGAGCTGCCTGGCCACACTTCTGCCTAGCAGCTGAGCAAGGCAGAGGCGTTTCTGGGGAGCTCCCAAGGTAAGTGCTGCCCAGAGCCCACCTCACCCCGTCCTGTGCCCCAATCCCCTGTCCCCTCCCACACCCAAACTCTGCTGCTGGGGTCGGGGGGGCGCCGTGGGGGCCCAAGACTGCCCAGCAGCAGCCGGTGTGCTTGGTGCAGGGGCTGCCTGAGCTGTCCCCTGAGCCAGGCACACCAGCCACTGCAGAAGTCACAGAAAGTCACGGAATCCATGACCTCCGTGACAAACTTGCAGACTTACTTATAACTTTGTCAAACTTCAACCGTTTAAGCTAAAATTTTCTGTGTGGGGTGTCTGCCACAGACTGATTATTTTTGGAAATTTCAGCAAAACCAGTTCATCCTTTTCTCAGAACAAGATGATGAAAATGTGTTGTTTTGCCCAGGTTAAAAAATTTGTACAACCATTTTGTTGAGAATCTCCAGCAGCTCCATGCTTTGCACAGGCAACCTTAATTCCCTACATTTTGAGTACCTGACTTTGCATCTCTTTTAATGTAGTTCTTGTATGTAAATATAAACACAGAATTTAAAAAAATCACAGATCTTTGCAGATCTATCGGCAAATATGTGATATTTCTCCTGATGTAACCACTCCACTACTAGAGAGCACATTAAGATGAGTACTGAACTACATGTAAACGTTACAGATGTTACAGCATATGCACAGACCAAGAGCAATTCTACTTACCATTAATTCTGGTGGAAATATAAACTCCTGGGTGGGGTCCAAGGGCTGAAATTCATCTGCTGAAAACAGCTTGGAGGAAGTCTTAAACAAACAAACAAACAAAACAAAAACAAACAATTTTTTACTTAATTCATTCTTTATAAAAAAGAAAGAATCACAAGGACTGGATCTGAAGCCCACTGAAGTCAGCAGGAGTCTTTGTAATTACTCTAATAGCCTTTGGATGAGATGCTAAATAAACTGCCATGTATTAGTGGGAGCTGTTGCAGCGGAAGAAATGGAGAAAGGCAGCCTCTCACAGCTCAGTCACCTTCCCTGGCCCCTCTGGAGCTGGGAGAGTGGAATGATACAGACCTGAAATCCTAACTGTACACTTCCCTCTGTTCAACTATAGAGAGGTGAGATGACTCCATATTTCCCCCCACTCTAACACACACTGACAGGTCACAGATTTTTGAAAGGAATGTTTACATAAAATAAACCATTTGTATGGATGGGAATTTTCAAATAAAAAAAATTAGTGTCATGATTCTGATTTAGTTTTTGCAGCAAACTTCAGTTCTGTGAACACAATCTTGTTATGAGTGCCATGTAGACAAACCCCTGAACCCACACAAAACCTCACTGACTTCATACAGCTTCACCTGGGCACAGGGATAGCTAATGCAGTGGTCACTGCAGAATCGGAGCCTAAGAATATTAATATTCCAGAACACAAAAGATTGTTTGAACATGCAGATCCAAACTGTCCTCTGCATTGTTACAAGAGACTCCAGGGGAAGAGGGTGAAGATTTCCCCTTTCACACACCTACCATGCCTTTGAAGACATATCTAAATCCCTCACCACTAACAGTACATTCATTTCCTGTGAAAATGGAAAAACTTCCTGATCACCCAGGATGGTACATACATCATTAAGAGAAACTTTCAAACTTCACAGAACAGCAGCAGCAATGGTTCTGTGGCCTGCAATATGCAGGAGGTCAGACTAGATGATCATGATGGTCCCTTCTGGCTTTAAAGTCAGAGCAATGCTATGGGACATAGTGGGCTGTAGTCAGCTGGCTATAGGATGCTGCATGGCATAGCACTTGGCATGTACTATAATAAGTAATAAGCAGCGCAATGCTCTTCACCTAGTGCAAATTTTACATTTAAACAGGAAGGAAAAACAATTAAACTCACCTTCTCTCCTTTAAGTTTGTCTTCTTGATCCAAGCAAGAGTTCCCATTTTCTTTACTTTGACAACAAAACGGTTCCTAAAATACTAATATCCCATTAATATAACATATGACTTCTGCTCATAGTGAGCTTGATCCCAAGTCAATTGAAGTCAATGGGAGTCTCTCCTGACTTACAATGTGCTTTGGATGAGGCTCAATAAAATTGCAAATATTCATGTTTTAAGGCATTATCTTTTTCTTACCAAAACCTTTTTAAAAAAAGTTCTCCACAAAAAAGGGTTTTCTAAGTTTCTCAGTGGAATTTACACAAAATGTTGGCAGACAGGATGAACTTTATGTCATTAACACTCATTGATGTCACCACCTCTTTTAATTCAAATCTTATTTCAACTTTATTTTATGCATGTAATGCCATGACTAGCAAAGACCAAAGTCTCCTTGCCTCAATCACACAAATATTCCCACTGACTGCAATGAAACTACTTTTGTGAGGAAGATTTGGGCCCCTTATGAACAGTTAATACTTAGAACCAGATTTTTATAATACTCTTTGTCACTCTGCAATTTGTATGTCTGGGCTAAATATTACAGAACAACAGGTTTATGTGGCTAGTGGCCTGATCCAAAGCTCACTGGAGTTAATGGAGACACTTTCATTGACTTCAATGACCTTTGGTTCCAGGCCCTGAGAGCTGGCTGATCTGCATTCCTGGAAAGGACAGCCAACAACCCATGGCAGAAACAAGATTGGATGTGTACTTAAATTCACAGTGGTCTCTGGTTGTTTAGATATTGTAATACACAGTAATACATGCCTCACTCTCCCATAAAAATATTTTAGAACAAATATTCAAAGCAGTTGAATAGGAACACTCTTTGATTCCCACCATTCCCACCGCTTACCTTACAGAAGGTTTTACAGCCATCTAAGATTGGCCTATACCCAGTGCAGCGGCACAAGTTACCTGATACCAGAAAATAATAGGTGAACTATTAGTTCTAGCTATCACATATAATTTAGGATTCAAGACTTCATGTTAAGGTTTGTCTTTTTTCAGGAGAAGGGGTTTATCTCTGAAATGCAGTATGGGCCAGATGTACAAAAGAGCTCAGCATCCATTGACTCCTGAGGGGAGGAAACTCTTACAGCAACTAAAAGGAAGCTGTAATACTGCAAGAGCCGCATCAGATGGCAGCAGTGGGTGAGTTGACCCAGGGCGCCATAACAACTTTGGCTTTGGCTTCACTGACACAAAGGTGGGTTTTTACAGTGAGATAACTAGCATGGGATAGTTCTCTCATTGTAAAAACTTAAGTGGAGACAAGGCACTTGCAGTGTTTACAATGAGGTAAAAAGAAAAGGAGTACTAGTGGCACCTTAGAGACTAACCAATTTATCTGAGCATAAGCTTTCGTGAGCTACAGCTCACTTCATCGGTAGCTCACGAAAGCTTATGCTCAAATATATTGGTTAGTCTCTAAGGTGCCACTAGTACTCCTTTTCTTTTTGCGAATACAGACTAACACGGCTGCTACTCTGAAACCTACAATGAGGTAGCTAGGCAAAGTCAGCACTATATCTCCTGCCCTGGCTGACCTCACCAAGTTTGCCTCATGGTAAAACTAAACTGGCCTTGTCTCCCCTCTGCTTTTACCCTGGGATAGTGAACCCACATTAGTTATCCCTCTCTAAAAGCACACCTTTTTTGCAGTGAAGACATAGCCAGTCTCTCTGTTATTTTATAGTTTTATTACTGTCACAAAAGCTTTGGCACTGTTCTGAGGTTTACAATGTTCTGAACACTGCATCTGATGAGAACTAAGGCCAAGATTTTCAAAAGTGGCTACTGATTATGGATGCCTCAATTTTTGAGAACCCAACTTGAGCACTTTTTGAAAATCAGGCCCCTTTAAGGACATCTTAAAGGGGCCTGATTTTCAAAAAGTGCTTAGTGCCTACTCTCTGAAAATCAACTCCCCTATAGGTGTGCCAAGTTGGGCACCCTAATTGAGATACCCCAAATCACTAGTAACTTCTGAAAATTTTGGCCAAGGTTTCACTCTGCTGTAGGGTATACTGTTCAGCATGACATCGCAGATGTGCTGTTTAATATATAGGCACCTCACAGATTTCAGGCAGCCAAGAATTCATTGTTGCTTTCTTCCCTTTCCTCCCCACCCACCTTTTCTGAAAGGAAACCATCATTAAAAATCTTATTTACTAAGAGATTATTTATCTTGTTTGTTCATATATTAAAAATGGCATTTTGATGGGGAGGGGGGAAGTGGAGAAACAAACAAACAAAAACTAACCAGCCAGAGCTGCAGCTATCTGCTCCATGGAGGGTTCAGGGTGGTTTCTCAGTAAACTATACATGGACATCACCATTCCAGGGGTGCAAAAGCCACATTGAGAGCCATGGCACTTGGCCAGCCTTTCCTGGAACAAAACAGAACAACAGGCCCTGCTTCAAAATGCAACATCAACAAATTCCCTTTATCAATCATTTAAAAGAGCTGTTGGTTTCAAAAGTTACAAACATGATTTAAAGAGTGTGACAAAGTTCCTGCTCTACCTTGGTGGGTCTTGTGCTTATTGGCAGATTTGCTCGCCTTGGAGCTTCACGGCAGCTTGGCCATTTTTCTGAATTCACAGTCCAGGTCGACTCCTCCTGTGTCTGACTAGGAGTTGGGAGGATTTGGGAGGAACCCGGGCCCGCCCTCTACTCCAGGTTCCAGCCCAGGGCCCTGTGGAATGCAGCTGTCTAGAGTGCCTCCTGGAACAGCTACAACTCCCTGGGCTACTTCCTCATGGCCTCCTCCCAACACCTTCTTTATCCTCACCATAGGACCTTCCTCCTGGTGTCTGATAATGCTTGTACACCTCAGTCCTCCAACAGTCCATGTTCTCACTCTCAGCTCCTAGTGCCTCTTGCTCCCAACTCCTCACATGCACACCACAAACTGAAGTGAGCTCCTTTTTAAAACCCAGGTGCCCTGATTAGCCTGCCTTAATTGATTCTAGTAGCTTCTTGATTGGCTGCAGGTGTTCTAATCAGCCTTTCTTAATTGTCTCCAGAAGGTTCCTGATTGTTCTGGAATCTTCCCTGTTACCTTACCCAGGGAAAAGGGACCTACTTAGCCTGGGGCTAATATATCTGCCTTCTATTACTCTCCTGTAACGGTGTCCCTGTCAGGTTCCCTTTGTTTGACCCTTTGACCGCACTCCTGTCCCTGTTGTTCATTAGTTGTCCCCCGTAATTATTTGGTTTTCCAGGTCTTGTGGACCCCCCCATTAGGCTGGAGGGAGGGGATCCTTTAGCAGTGGGCGGGCTTTCACCGCCCACTTCCTGGATCCCAATAAGATTACTCTCCTGTAGCCATCTGGCCCGACCCTGTCACAAGGGTTACAAGATCTGACCTAATTAACACAATGAAAAATGTGACAGATGTTACAAACTTAAATGCCTTCCTCTTAGAAATGTGAGATATTTCGAGAAGAAACTTAAACTAATGTGAAATCTGAACCAGGAAAAGTTATTTCAATGTGTGGGTCCAAGAATATCTGACTGGTGGACGATGGGAGCAGATTATCCCCCAACTGCCTACTTTGGTGTTCTTACACCTTCCTTTGTAGCATCTGGTGCTGACCACTGTTGGAAGACAGAGCATTGGCCTAGCCAGACCATGGGTCTCATCCAGACTAGCTATTCCTGAGTTCCTGTGTCTTTACCTCAGTCTCTTAATATTATATGCAGTGTTGTAGCTGGATATGAGCAAGGCAAGGTGGGTGAGGTAATATCTTTTATTGGAACAACTTCTATTGGTGAGAGAGAAAAACTTTCGAGCTACACTGTCTCTCTCTCACCCATAGAAGTTGGTCCAATAAAAGATATTACCTCACCCATCTTGTCTCTCTGTTAATATTAGGCAGTCTGCATGAAGGAGCATCTCTAATTAGTCTTAATCAACCACTTTATACTTGTATTATCAAGGTTTCCAAGAAAAGTTAGTCTGACCGTTAACAACGTCGAACAAATATGAGACTTTTGCTGGCCCACTAAGATAAGTCTCACTGTTTATGTATCTTCTTTGCTGTGCCTCCAACACACAGTATACACACTGTTTAGCAAGCAGCAACATTGCACATTGCGCCTTTTACAATACTTTGTTTTTTAGCAGAGCTGGACAAATAATCCAAAATATTTTCTGTATAGACATGCTATAATTTTAAAGTTAATACCTTTGGCCATTTTGGCAGCCCTTGGGCATTTCCTTGCTGAATTCAAGGAGGTGCCACCATTGACAGGAGATCACATACCTCTTAGTTAATCATCTAGAACTGTTTTATTTTAGCAAATAGGTTGTTCCCATACTATGCTGGAGATTCCTGAAGTTTTTGCAGCATGTGTGACATCTGCTAGATAACTGTACATAAATACTATATTTTCCTGTCTTTCTCCACCCATTTTAAACTACACTGCAGAATCAGTTTAAAAATCCAGAGTCCTCAGCTATCTTTTAGCAGTGGGAGCAATACCATATCTTTAAAAATCGTAACAGTGCCGTACCACCACTGCCAATTAATCCTAGGCACGTGAAGGAAGAAAGCAAAAATCCTTTTACAGCATACTCTCACCTGAACTGGATGTATCCGGGTTTTTGTGCATCCTATGCCTTCCACAGTGGTGACAGCAACATCATGCAACGAACATATGGGTAATAGACAGGCATTGGCAGAATAATGTCTTCGAATTGTAAAGGAGAATCAAGGACATTAAATATAATTATAAGCTTTAAAAAATTAGGGATTATATGACCAGTAATTCTTGTGTACATTGTAGGAGTCGCATGCCTGGTCATGCAAAACTTGGCAGTTAGATGCCTGTGCACGTCCCTCAAGCCTAACATTCTATGGGCCAAGAGTATAAATATCCCATCCTTTCCGTCATTTAATCCTTATCTGCCATCAGAAGCCCTATTTGCAGAGCTCTGATGCAGAGGGCAGGAGGGAAGGTCAGAGTGTTTCTTTGCAAGCAACACAGTGAGAAAACAAGAGTTATTGCTGGTAAACCCCCCTTTTCTCCTTCATGACATTGCTTTCGCAGAGTTCACTGTAGAAGACTAGCTAGCAGTGACCTCCCTGATGAGGTAAGCTTAGCAGTGCCCTGCTAAACAGTGACATAAGCACTGCTCTAAGTCAGTGGTTTTCAATCTGGGGTCCGCAAACTATGTCTAAGCTTTCCAAAGAGGTCCGTACCTCCACTTGAAATGTTTTAGGGGTCCACAAATGAAAAAAGCTTGAAAACCACTGCTCTAAATCAATATTTGCTCAATACAGAGTTGATGTAGCACTTAGAGAACAGCAGTGATGGAGGTGTGAGCTGAATTCCATCAAGGAGACATACAGATTTTAGGTAACTACACCCTGTGGATACATGTTACTGAAGCAGCTATCTTCATCACTAAGCCAGTGACAAAGGCATAAGAACATTAGCCAGCTCATAACATGACTCAGTGCACAGTCTTTCCTCTTAAATGGTCTTTGAACTAACAAGGCCTAACAGTTTGATTTTTCTGTGAATGACTAATCTAAATTGAATATTAAGTTAAAGTTTGATAAGCTGTTTTTAAAATACAGTATCACACATGAAAACCTTATCTACATTCTTGTTTTTTTAAAAGAAAACTGCCATATTTCCTTCAGTTAGCTGAAATCACATTTATTTTTAAAAGGTCATAAAAATTTAGTGTTGTGTTTTCTAGATATTTTGTTAAGGATACCTTATCTTCTTGGAAACCGGTTCATATGTGGAGATCATCACAGTGCAGGCTCCGCAGCCACCTCCTCCACAGCCATACTTAGTTCCTGTGAGACGGAGTGAAAGAGTTCCCATTAAGGAAAAAAGCTTATGGGTATTTAATAATTCTTTTTTTGCTTCTGCTCTGTTCCCAGTAGTTTCCCAGGTTGTGTAAAGCTTGAGGACAATCTTCTTCCTGAAGGCAACAGATATAGAACCTATAACTGGACAAGTGCAATGGCACATGTATCAGAAGCTCATTTTTGCATTGCTTGAAATCTTCAATTATTATTAGACCAAAACTACAAAATAAACTGACCAAGATCCAGCTCCCACCAAGTTCAATGGAAGCTGCTGACTTCCTTTGGAAGCAAGAGCAGCCCACATTATGTAAATATCCCACTGGGACAGAAACAATAGTAGATCTTCTGTACAGCTCACATGTTCTGTTTCAAAGTGGCTGAACTGTATTTTTGGGTAAACTCAGTAACTTGGCTTGCTGTGTAGCATGGTGAAAAGATTTAGGGCCCAAGACTCTTTTATGAGTGACATAAATTTAACTTAAATATGTAGTTAAGTGCTTTGCTGAATCGGGGCCTCAAAGTAAGTTAGGAATCTAAATACCTTTGTGAATCTGGGCTTTGGTTCTTAGGGCCAAGATTTTCAAAATGGTTGCCATTGAAGTTAATGGGAGCTACTAAGTGCTCAGAGATTTTGAAAATCAGGGCACCAAAGACTAAAATGTCTAGGTTGCCAGTAGGGTTAAAATGAAACCTTTAGGTTTATTTTGAGTCTGTTAATATCACAAACTAAACAATGGGAAGATAAATGTATTTTGCATGGAAACCATTGTTTATTGAAATCATCATTCTTGCAGGAAATCAGATGAACAAAATGGGAATCAAATAGCTACCTAGGCAAAGTGCAATTCATCAGATTTAAACAGCCAAAAACACTTTTTTCAGCGGTATAACCACAGAACAGGAATTTATTTCAGAGATGTGCAATATTACAATTTCTCAGAATTAACTGTATAGTATTTGAATGTCATGGGTCTCAAACTGATTTTAAACATTTGGGCAAGTATTCCATTTCATATTTACAACCAGAGCAAACTCCAAAGGCAGAGATTGTGAAAGGTATTTTTCCTCAAGCCTTGCTTTGGCCTCTGAGTCCTTTCACTGGCTCACTTTTACATGCTGCATCAAATGTAAGGGTATGTCTACACTACGAAATTAGGTCGAATTTATAGAAGTCGGTTTTTTAGAAATCGGTTTTATATATTCGAGTGTGTGTGTCCCCACAGAAAATGCTCTAAGTGCATTAAGTGCATTAACTCGGCGGAGCGCTTCCACAGTACCGAGGCAAGCGTCGACTTCCGGAGCGTTGCACTGTGGGTAGCTATCCCACAGTTCCCGCAGTCTCCGCTGCCCATTGGAATTCTGGGTTGAGATCCCAATGCCTGATGGGGCTAAAACATTGTCGCGGGTGGTTCTGGGTACATATCGTCAGCCCCCCGTTCCCTCCCTCCCCCCGTGAAAGCAAGGGCAGACAATCATTTCGCGCCTTTTTTCCTGAGTTACCTGTGCAGACGCCATACCATGGCAAGCATGGAGCCCGCTCAGGTAACCGTCACCCTATGTCTCCTGGGTGCTGGCAGACGCGGTACGGCATTGCTACACAGTAGCAGCAACCCCTTGCCTTGTGGCAGCAGACGGTACAGTATGACTGATAGCCGTCATCGTCATGTCTGAGGTGCTCCTGGTCGCCTCTGTGAGGTCGATCAGGAGCGCCTGGGCAGACATGGGCGCAGGGACTAAATTTGGAGTGACTTGACCAGGTCATTCTCTTTAGTCCTGCAGTCAGTCCTATTGAACCGTCTTATGGTGAGCGGGCAGGCAATACGGACTGCTAGCAGTTGTACTGTACCATCTTCTGCCGAGCAGCCATGAGATGTGGATGGCATGCAGTCCTTCTGCACCGTCTGCTGCCAGCCAAAGATGTAAAAGATAGATGGAGTGGATCAAAACAAGAAATAGACCAGATTTGTTTTGTACTCATTTGCTTCCCCCTCTCCCCTGTCTAGGGGACTCATTCTTCTAGATCACACTGCAGTCACTTACAGAGAAGGTGCAGCGAGGTAAATCTAGCCATGTATCAATCAGAGGCCAGGCTAACCTTCTTGTTCCAATAAGGACAATAACTTAGGTGCACCATTTCTTATTGGAACCCTCCGTGAAGTCCTGCCTGAAATACTCCTTGATGTAAAGACACCCCCTTTGTTGATTTTAGCTCCCTGAAGCCAACCCTGTAAGCGCCCCTCCCAGCGTCAGAGCAATGGCAAACAATCGGGCATCTGAGAGTGCTGTCCAGAGCAGTCACAATGGAGCACTCTGATGGGGCTAAAACATTGTCGCGGGTGGTTCTGGGTACGTGTCGTCAGGCCCCCGTTCCCTCCCTCCCTCCGTGAAAGCAAGGGCAGACAATCATTTCGCGCCTTTTTTCCTGAGTTACCTGTGCAGACGCCATACCACAGCAAGCATGGAGCCAGCTCAGGTAACCGTCACCCTATGTCTCCTGGGTGCTGGCAGACGCGGTACGGCTTTGCTGCACAGTAGCAGCAACCCATTGCCTTCTGGCAGCAGACGGTGCAATACGACTGGTAGTCGTCCTCGTCGTGTCCGAGGTGCTCCTGGCCACGTCGGCCGGGAGCGCCTGGGCAGACATGGGCGCAGGGACTAAATTTGGAGTGACTTGACCAGGTCATTCTCTTTAGTCCTGCAGTCAGTCCTATTGAACCGTCTTATGGTGAGCGGGCAGGCGATACGGACTGCTAGCAGTCGTACTGTACCATCTTCTGCCAGGCAGGCAAGAGATGAGGATTGCTAGCAGTCGTATTGTACCATCTTATGCCAGGCAGGCAAGAGATGAAGATGGCTAGCAGTCGTACTGTACCATCTTCTGCCGAGCAGCCATGAGATGTGGATGGCATGCAGTCCTTCTGCACCGTCTGCTGCCAGCCAAAGATGTAAAAGATAGATGGAGTGGGTCAGAACAAGAAATAGACCAGATTTGTTTTGTACTCATTTGCCTCCTCCCCTGTCTAGATCACACTGCAGTCACTCACAGAGAAGGTGCAGCGAGGTAAATCTAGCCATGTATCAATCAGAGGCCAGGCTAACCTTCTTGTTCCAATAACAACGATAACTTAGGTGCACCATTTCTTATTGGAACCCTCTATGCAGTCCTGCCTGAAATACTCCTTGATGTACAGGCACACCCTTTGTTGATTTTAGCTCCCTGAAGCCAACCCTGTAAGCCGTGTCATCAGTCGCCCCTCCCTCCGTCAGAGCAACGGCAGACAATCGTTCCGCGCCTTTTTTCTGTGCGGACGCCATACCAAGGCAAGCATGGAGGCCGCTCAGCTCACTTTGGCAATTAGGAGCACATTAACCACCACACGCATTATCCAGCAGTATATGCAGCACCAGAACATGGCAACGCGATACCAGGCGAGGAGGCGACGTCAGCGCGGTCCCGTGAGTGATCAGGACATGGACACAGATTTCTCTGAAAGCATGGGCCCTGACAATGCATGCATCATGGTGCTAATGGGGCAGGTTCATGCTGTGGAACGCCGATTCTGGGCTCGGGAAACAAGCACAGACTGGTGGGACCGCATAGTGTTGCAGGTCTGGGACGATTCCCAGTGGCTGCGAAACTTTCGCATGCGTAAGGGCACTTTCATGGAACTTTGTGACTTGCTTTCCCCTGCCCTGAAGCGCATGAATACCAAGATGAGAGCAGCCCTCACAGTTGAGAAGCGAGTGGCGATAGCCCTGTGGAGGCTTGCAACGCCAGACAGCTACCGGTCAGTTGGGAATCAATTTGGAGTGGGCAAATCTACTGTGGGGGCTGCTGTGATGCAAGTAGCCCACGCAATCAAAGATCTGCTGATATCAAGGGTAGTGACCCTGGGAAATGTGCAGGTCATAGTGGATGGCTTTGCTGCAATGGGATTCCCTAACTGTGGTGGGGCTATAGACGGAACCCATATCCCTATCTTGGCACCGGAGCACCAAGCCGCCGAGTACATAAACCGCAAGGGGTACTTTTCGATAGTGCTGCAAGCTCTGGTGGATCACAAGGGACGTTTCACCAACATCAACGTGGGATGGCCGGGAAAGGTGCATGATGCTCGCATCTTCAGGAACTCTGGTCTGTTTCAAAAGCTGCAGGAAAGGACTTTATTCCCAGACCAGAAAATAACTGTTGGGGATGTTGAAATACCTATATGTATCCTTGGGGACCCAGCCTACCCCTTAATGCCATGGCTCATGAAGCCGTACACAGGCAGCCTGGACAGTAGTCAGGAGCTGTTCAACTACAGGCTGAGCAAGTGCAGAATGGTGGTAGAATGTGCATTTGGACGTTTAAAGGCACGCTGGCACAGTTTACTGACTCGCTTAGACCTCAGCGAAACCAATATTCCCACTGTTATTACTGCTTGCTGTGTGCTCCACAATATCTGTGAGAGTAAGGGGGAGACGTTTATGGCGGGGTGGGAGGTTGAGGCAAATCGCCTAGCTGCTGGTTACGCGCAGCCAGACACCAGGGCGGTTAGAAGAGCACAGGAGGGCGCGGTACGCATCAGAGAAGCTTTGAAAACCAGTTTCATGACTGGCCAGGCTACGGTGTGAAAGTTCTGTTTGTTTCTCCTTGATGAAACCCCCCGCCCCTTGGTTCACTCTACTTCCCTGTAAGCTAACCACCCTCCCCTCCTCCCTTTAATCATTGCTTGCAGAGGCAATAAAGTCATTGCTGCTTCACAGTCATGCATTCGTTATTCATTCATCACACAAATAGGGGGATGACTACCAAGGTATCCCAGGAGGGGTGGTGGAGGAGGGAAGGAAAATGCCACACAGCACTTTAAGCACAGCACTTTAAAAGTTTACAACTTTAAAATTTATTGAATGACAGCCTTCTTTTTTTTGGGCAATCCTCTGTGGTGGAGTGGCTGGTTGGCCGGAGGCCCCCCCACCGCGTTCTTGGGCGTCTGGGTGTGGAGACTATGGAACTTGGGGAGGAGGGCGGTTGGTTACAGAGGGGCAGCAGTGGCAGTCTGTGCTCCAGCTGCCTTTGCTGCAGCTCAACCATACACTGGAGCATACTGGTTTGGTCCTGCAGCAGCCTCAGCATTGAATCCTGCCTCCTCTCATCACGCTGCCGCCACATTTGAGCTTCAGCCCTGTCTTCAGCCCGCCACTTACTCTCTTCAGCCCACCACCTCTCCTCCCGGTCATTTTGTGCTTTCCTGCACTCTGAAATTAGTTGCCTCCACGCATTCGTCTGTGCTCTGTCAGTGTGGGAGGACAGCATGAGCTCGGAGAACATTTCATCGCGAGTGCGTTTTTTTTTCTTTCTAAGCTTCACTAGCCTCTGGGAAGGAGAAGATCCTGTGATCATTGAAACACATGCAGCTGGTGGAGAAAAAAAAAGGGACAGCGGTATTTAAAAAGACACATTTTATAAAACAGTCGCTACACTCTTTCAGGGTAAACCTTGCTGTTAACATTACATACATAGCACATGTGCTTTCGTTACAAGGTTGCATTTTGCCTCCTCCCACCGCGTGACTACCCCCTCAACCTTCTCCCCTCCCTGTGGCTAACAGCGGGGAACATTTCTGTTTAGCCACAGGCAAACAGCCCAGCAGGAATGGGCTCCTCTGAGTGTCCCCTGAAGAAAAGCACTCTATTTCAACCAGGTGACCATGAATTATATCTCACTCTCCTGAGGATAACACAGAGAGATAAAGAACAGATTTTGGTTGAATGCCAGCAAACATACACTGCAATGCTTTGTTCTACAGTGATTCCCGAGTACGTGTTACTGGCCTGGAGTGGTAAAGTGTCCTACCATGAAGGACGAAATAAGGCTGCCCTCCCCAGAAACCTTTTGCAAAGGCTTTAGGACTACATCTAGGAGAACCGCAAATGCCAGGGCAAAGTAATCCTTTCACATGCTTGCTTTTAAACCATGTATAGCATTTTAAAAGGTACACTCACCAGAGGTCCCTTCTCCGCCTGCTGGGTCCAGGAGGCAGCCTTGGGTGGGTTCGGGGGGTACTGGCTCCAGGTCCAGGGTGAGAAACAGTTCCTGGCTGTCGGGAAAACTGGTTTCTCCACTTGCTTGCTGTGAGCTATCTACAACCTCCTCCTCATCATCATCTTCTTCGTCCCCAAAACCTACTTCCGTATTGCCTCCATCTCCATTGAAGGAGTCAAACAACACGGCTGGGGTAGTGGTGGCTGAACCCTCTAAAATGGCATGCAGCTCATCATAGAAGCGGCATGTTTGGGGCTCTGACCCAGAGCGGCTGTTCGCCTCTCTGGTTTTCTGGTAGGCTTGCCTCAGCTCCTTCAGTTTCACGCGGCACTGCTTCGGGTCCCTGTTATGGCCTCTGTCCTTCATGCCCTGGGAGATTTTCAGAAAGGTTTTGGCATTTCGAAAACTGGAACGGAGTTCTGATAGCACGGATTCCTCTCCCCAAACAGCGATCAGATCCCGTACCTCCCGTTCGGTCCATGCTGGAGCTCTTTTGCGATTCTGGGACTCCATCATGGTCACCTGTGCTGATGAGCTCTGCATGGTCACCTGCAGCTTGCCACGCTGGCCAAACAGGAAATGAGATTCAAAAGTTCGCGGTTCTTTTCCTGTCTACCTGGCCAGTGCATCTGAGTTGAGAGCGCTGTCCAGAGCGGTCAGAATGGAGCACTCTGGGATAGCTCCCGGAGGCCAATACCATCGAATTGTGTCCACAGTACCCCAAATTCGAGCCGGCAACGTCGATTTAAGCGCTAATCCACTTGTCAGGGGTGGAGTAAGGAAATCGATTTTAAGAGCCCTTTAAGTCGAAATAAAGGGCTTCATTGTGTGGACGGGTGCAGGTTTAAATCGATTTAACGCTGCTAAATTCGACCTAAAGTCCTAGTGTAGACCAGGGCTAAATTTCTTGTGCTTTTTGTAAAGGTTCTGCATTCCATCCCAGCCCACCTCTCAGATCTTGTGTTGTATCATCTGCCTCCTTGCTTTCCCAGTGATGCCATCCTCACCGCCCTGTGTCTCTCATTTCTAGTCACATATTTGTGTCTTCTTTCACCTTGTCCACTATGCATGGATCAGCCTCCTAATCTCAGTGCCAGCTCCCACCCACTAAAATCCCATATTTCTCCACAATGGCACAGACACTAACTCAGGTGAGTCTGTTATCTTCTTCATTCCAACATTGCAGAAAAAAAGAGTGATAAAAATATTCAAATCTGAACCAGCACTTCCTCTTGGTTTCCCAGTGACTCTTCTCAGTGTTACTTGGAGTCTGATTTTTTAGAAGTGTTAAGCACCCATCTCTTGAAGTCAGTGGGAGCTGCAGGGACTTAGCTACCTCTGGAGATAAGGCTCTTAGGCTATTTAATAGCAGGGAGCATCTTTCTATTTGTCTTGTATAGCACTGAGCAGGGGATTGGCAGATAAATAATAACGGATTTTTGGTCCTGATTTTAGAAAAGAGTAGGGTAAAAATGTTGCCAATAGCCAACAATACAAGAAAATGTCTGACAAAGGTTCTCCGCTTGGTGTGTGGAGTACTTCCTGGTGGCCTGTGGAAGCCAGCTGGTCACATGGTGGTGGCTCTCTCCTTGTTTCCAGCTCATAAATTTAATTAAAACTACACAGATATTTTCCCAATTTTACTCTTCCATGGAAGCAATTTCTTTATTTGCCACAGGGATGTTATGTGATCATGAATGAAACTTTGGAAGGGGAGACACACAATCACAACTGGGAGAGGAGATGGTTCACAAGTCACTCTCTCTACTGAGATGTGGTCCACACTAGTGAAGTGCTTGAGGGCCTCTGGTCTAAAAAGTTATGGAGTTGGAAGAAAGATTCTCCCATGATTTATGGGGATTTATATCTTGGTTTGTAGAGTCCCTCCTACAAACCAAGACATTTATGCTTACATATAGCGTATCTAGATCCCTTTTGTCTGCTACACTTACAACGTATAAGTAAAGAACTTCTGCCTTTGATGGAAGCTCATCATGAAAACAAGCAGAGCTGTAATCCATGATTAGCACAAAATATGAATGTGCTGTCATCTATTCTAAAGTTCTGTTTTTAGATATAAGACTACTGAGGAACATGCATAGATTGATCTCAAGCAGCATGAAACTAAAGAGGTTTTGGCTGTGCTTAAAAATTAGGAGCTTACTAAGTAATGTCTACAACAAAAACACTAACCCAGGAACCTATCCTTGCAACAAAGCCCGTTGCCAACTCTGTCCACATATCTATTCAGGGGACACCATCATAGGGCCTAATCACACTATCAGAGGCTCGTTCACCTGCACATCTACCAATGTGATATATGCCATCATGTGCCAGCAATGCCCCTCTGCCATGTACATTGGCCAAACTGGACAGTATCTACATAAAGAATAAATGGACACAAATCAGACGTCAAGAATTATAACATTCAAACACCAGTCGGAGAACACTTCAATCTCCTGGTCACTCGATTACAGACCTAAAAGTCGCAATGTTACAACAATAAAACTTCAAAACCAGACTCCAACGAGAGACTGCTGAATTGGAATTAATTTGCAAACTGGACACCATTAAATTAGGCTTGAATAAAGACTGGGAGTGGATGGGTCATTACACAAAGAAAAACTACTTCCCCGTGCTTATTTCCCCCCCTGCTGTTATTCTCACCTTCTTGTCAACTGTTGGAAATGGGCCATCCTGATTATCACTACAAAAGGTTTTTTTCTCCTGCTGATAATAGCTCACCTTAATTGATCACTCTCATTATAGTGTGTATGGCAACACCTATTTTTTCATGTTCTCTGTGTGTATATATATCTTTCTTCATTTTCCACTGCATGCATCTGATGAAGTGGGTTTTAGCCCATGAAAGCTTATGCTCAAATAAATTTGTTAGTCTCTAAGGTGCCACAAGTACTCCTTGTTCTTTTTGCTGATTCAGACTAACACAGCTACCACTCTGAAACCTATCACCACTGGAGTTCTAATGATACTAGTGGTCAGGTCATCAGTTTTGCACATTATCTAAAAAATGGGACTTCTAGAAGCACAGTGCTCTCTTCCACCATTCTGAAGCACCAGCTCAATTCAGAGAGTAAGTGACACTTATTAAATCCTATATTCACACTTCACTAATACACAGATAATCCACATACAAAGATACTGACTGCAATCTGGTTCTCAGTAAGGATTTAACAGCAGGTATCAGATTACTAAAGCTTCATTATTTTTAGAACTAGATTACAGAATATTATCACAGATTATCTGACAAGGGTAAAATACAGTTTGTGAATCTGCCTTCTTGCTTCAACTCCCCCCACTTACTTGCTAATTCACAGTGGATCTTCTATTAATTAATAGTCTAATGCACCATTTCCCACAGCTTCTAGCCTCCCTTCCAAGTACCCATGAGGCTTGGCTCATTTTACCTTATTTATTACAAAATCCCTGTGTTTTGATAGAATTGCTATATAAGTGCACGATATTATCAAGGATGTCAAAGCACTTTACAACACTAATTAATCTCTGTGAGGCAGATAAGTATTAATATCTTCATTTTACAAATGGGAATAGATGAGCACAAAAAGGGTAAGCGACATTCCCAAGGTGTCACATCAAGTCAGTGGCAAAACTTGGCACAGAACCAGATTGCCTGATTTAGCAATGTGTTCTGACTAGTGAACTACAATCCCTTTGAGTTGGAGCTAACATTAAGCTAATTTTTACAGTTCAATGGAGTTTGCTATTGTTCATAACATTAAAATATAGTCAAGTACTGAAGAGTGTTTGTCTCTTAAAAAGATACATAACTTAATATAGTAATTTTATACAGTTCCAGGGCCCAATCCTGTCATCTTTAATCAGGCAAAGCTCTAATTATCATCAGTGGGAGTTTTTCCTGAATAAAGTCTGCAGGATAGTGCCCTAACTGCATCAACAAGGAAAGGATATGTCTCTTTCGGAGGTAAGACAACAGCATTTGTTCAGGATCAGCATTCTTCTCTACTATCTGCAGAAGGAATGGAAACAAGCTGTTACAAAAATACTCAGGGTTTATCCTTCAGGGCACAAACCAATAGTCTGCCTTCCCAGCCCCACTTAACATAACTGCATGTGCTAAGGGCCATAGGTGGGAATTTTTCCTTCCTTTGGAAGTTTTTTGTCAGATAGTGCTACTGCTAAAAATAAACTGTCAGGACAGCTTATCTTTAATAAAAACAACCCTGGTGATAGGAGGAATGCCACATCAAAAGAATCCATCCTGAGCCCCTCTAACGGTAAAGGGGGCCAGGAATGGGACTGTATGTCAGCCTATGCACATATGCTTCATACTTATAAAGACATACAAAACCATGCTGGAGAACTCTCAGAATTGTGAACAGTCTGATGACCTGTTGGAAGTGAAGGGGAGCAGAGACTATTCCACAGCGCAGACGAACATGGAAGTATTACTGCAAGGTTACAGATACCAATTATTAAAAGTACAAACACAAAAAGAGTTTACTGCATACCCCCAGATCAGAAATGTAATAAGGAAATCAATATTCTTGACAGATTATAGAGCCTCATTATTATTTGAACATAATATGATGAACACTGGAAGGCAGACTAGCCAGGCCAGTGCCAGGGATCCCATTCCTCCTAGTTTTACCCACAGATGTATACTGTACTCATCCCACAGAGTATCCAAATGCTTTACAAAATTATAATCCCCCACCATACTCTCAAATGGGATGGCTGTAATGAATGCTATGACCATTAACAATATTTGTAGCTATCCATGCCAAGAAAATGTTACACAATGGTAATCAGATTTTATGCATCAGGGAATAAACTATGCAGGTCAGGAAGACTTCACCCTCTTCATCCAGCACTGCATAAAACTGACTCAATGCAATCTTCATTCTGTGATGGTCTCTGACAGAGGAGGAATACTAAACTACCTGGAGCAATAGCATCATCCAGAAACTCCTACATACCTATTTGATTAGAAGAATCCTTATCCCAGTATCTTGAATCAGCTAAACCTTAAAGTAGTGTTTAATCAATAGCCAGTTTAAGTAATTATACTCCCATTACATCAACGTTCTATTAGGCCAGTAGCTTCCATTTCATTCATCATATTTTGCTATATTTTGGCATTTCCATTATTGACATTTGCCTTCCTATCTTCTCCACATTGTACTGTGTGTCAAGAAAATGTATATTTCAAGAAAAACACATATAATTTTCAATAATTTTTTTTGCACACATGAAATTCTGAGGGAAATTTTCAAAGGATGAAAGGAGAGTTTGGCACCCAACTGCCACTGATGTTCCAGGAAGGGCTGGAGGCCTAACTCCCTTTTGTGATTTTGAAAATCTTCCCTCCTCTGGCATCATCATCCACAGGAATCTTGTGAGAAACCAGGCAGCAGGAAGGAAAGTGCATGATCTGCAGGTCTGCCGTGGCCCCCCAAATGAACACACCATCACTTCAACACTGGTTGACAACAGCCCTAGAGAGGTTCTGGGATGTTCGTTTGGGGATGAAATGTTATTGTTCTCCCACTGCTTTTTGAAAAGCTCGGTGGGGTAGAAAGCTCAATGACAGCTACTCTTCTAAACTTCACACCACTTAAGGTGTACAATGTTAGTAGGAGTGGAACACTCTTCAGCTCCATGGCACTCTAGATTTTAGACAAAAGAAAAATAATTTACTTAGCACTGATGTGCATAGAAAGTGCCATGACAAAAAATGTATGGGGAGAAAAAAATGCATCTTAGGGGGCAAACTGCATAAAAGAAAGACACAAGGCATTTGTGTTAAATATTTAACTTCCTGATCCTGATATGAACCTGAAATTAACTCCAAACTTTCACTCTTAATTTGCCGTTCTCCTTAAGCTCATTGCAAACAAAAAATGTATGCAAAACACTATCTGTGTGGAAGTGACAGCTAAAGAAACTATTTAGAGCACAAAGAAAAGGAGTACTTGTGGCACCTTAGAGACTAACCAATTTATTTGAGCATGAGCTTTCGTGAGCTACAGCTCACTTCATCGGATGCATGTAGCTCAGGAAAGCTCATGCTCAAATAAATTGGTTAGTCTCTAAGGTGCCACAAGTACTCCTTTTCTTTTTGCGAATACAGACTAACACGGCTGTTTGAAACCTGTCATTTAGAGCACAGGAACTCCTAACCAATCTCCCCGACCCCCCAGTATCATGCTTCTTCCCGAGGAAGCGGCGATTACATCGCTACGTTAGAGCTATATTGGCTGTTTACTGTTCTGACCCTGCAGAGGAGAAAGGGAAGTGGGAGTGGAGAACTGCCCATGGAGTCGGAGGAACTTGGGTCTGTGTGGCGGGTTGCCATCACATGAGAAATGGTCAAAAGGCCACTCCAACACCTCTCGTCCCGTCCAGTCACCAATGACCCCCTCGCTTACCTTCCTCCCGTTCACATAGAAGATCAGCTTATCAGGCCCCGCTCCCCCTGCAGCGGGGAGAGACATTGCGAGACGCAGGGAATCACAAGTCCCGTTCCCGCAAACCAGCTGCGCTGTGCAGTCCAGCGAGCGAGCGATGACCTTGCCGGGGGGCTGGGCCACCTGTGAACTCGAGAGGGGGGCGGCAAAGCCAGTAACATGAGAAGTCGGGGTGGTGGTGCTATGACTATCCGCAAATGTAACTAATAGATATAAGCAGGCCCATAGCTATAGATAGCTCCCACCCGTGGTGCAATCCCTGATAAAAAGCCCATCCTGTTCCAAACACTTTCAAAACTGGTTCCCCGCCAGGAAAGTTTTCAAGGGCAGTGGTTACTATCGCCAAGAAAAGCAAATAGCGTTACTGTTCTCCGGTTCTTTGCTGGAATAACTTGCATAAATCCTGGCACAGAATTTAAAGGAACCACTTGCATTTTATAGCATTACAAACTGTTAGTTCATCATCCCACGTACCTGTTATAAAAGGGTGGCATCAGCCGCCCTCCCCCCCCCCCCATTAACATACCATCACCATGGTCCAGAATGCAAGGAACTGAAATGGCCAATCCTAAAAATGAATGATTTATCAAAATAAGATCATTGTAAGATTAGAGAAAAACAAAAGATACACTCCTCTATATTACATTACTCCTCTATATAGACCATTACTTAATTATTATTTCTAACTATGGTAGCACCAATTATTTTTATTATTTATTGATATTGCTGTACACCCTAGAGGCCCCAGCATTATTGTGCTAGGCACTGTAGAGGCTCCAGTTGAGATAGGGACCCCATTTTGCTAGGCATCGCATAAACACAGAGGAAGAGCCAGTGCCTGCCCCAAAGAACTTACAATCTAAACAGAAAAGACAGATAAAGAGAATATTATCCTCATTTTCACAGATGGGGAACTGTGTGATTAAGTGACTTGCCAAAGATCCCATAAGAAGTTTGTGACTGAGCCAGCATCCAAATCCCAGCCCAGCATCTTACCCACAAAACCATTTGCGGAAAAAACTATGTAACCTGTTCTTAGCTGTCTGTGGGTGAATACAACCAAGCCCATCCTTACTGCCACCTCAGACAAAATGAAAGCACCTATAGAGACATCAGTGTAAATATGCATAAATAAATAAATAAACCATTTTCAAAAGCTAAAGAAGTGTTTGAGTCATGAGAGAAAAAGTTAAAAAAAGAGAGAAAGGTTGAAAATGGAAGAGCTGATTTTTAAAAATTGCAATCACAATGGGGACATGGGCAGCTAACCCCCAAGCAAGCTCATGGGTCAGATGGATCCCATCTGTTCGCAATACTAATATTTTCTCCCAACAATTCAAGCACAGTTTTAGAAATCAATTGAAGCCAAAGTCAAGGGGAATTGTGCTCAAGATAAATTCACATAGCAGATCAAGATAGGGCTGTCTGGATTTATCAGCAAAGCATTTTCCTATTATCTATGTTTATTTTATCTATAATTTACTCATTACAATATTTTTATATTTTTAAAAAAAGTAATTGAAATAAAACATGTACCTGTTTGCTGCCAATGCTGCTATAGTTGCAAACTGAGCAGCTTTTACTGTCTTTCCTCCAAAGCCACCACCAATTGATTTCATGTGGCACTTGATTTTATTGGCTGGGACATTTAATATTAAGGACACTATTTTCTGTAAAATTATGTTCAGAGATTTCACTGTTTTCCTGTTTGATTACTGAAGTTCAAAATATAATATTGAATCTTTAACTGCTACTGTTGTATAAAAGAGAAATACCTGGAAAGAAGAAAGGACAGAAGCAGGCTGCTTCTGTCTCTTGGCACAAAACATTTAATTTTCTAAATTATGAAGTATTGTTTCATTGTGAAAAATTCATGTAAAATATCATGAGGTTACTTAATTGTTGTGTTTAAATGACTCTATACCAAATGTGATCAATTTACAAGTAAAAAGATGTCTTTTTCTACATGCCAGCCTTGAAAACTCAACATGGGCTCTGAAAGTCAAGTTGGATTCTTTCCTTCCCATGCATCAGCACAAACTAAAAGGGAAGGGTGATATTATGCCATCCTCACTGCTAGACGCGGTGTGTCCAAGTGAAGACAGATACATTTTGTCCTTGATCAAATTCTGTATGCAAATATAACAATATTCATTTTTGTATCTGAGCAGAAAGAGAAAATAATAGCTTTAATTTGAAATTCTAATCCCTTTTCTCTAAACTGAACGCCCCCACATTTGGGGAACCTTGGATTTGACTCTTGACCTTGGATTTGTGGGTCAGACCATGTCTATTTTGAAGAGTTTATAAAGGATACTGTATCTTCTTGGTAATTGGTTCATGTCTTGATATCATCACAGTGCAGGATCCACAGCCATCTAGCCGAAACCTATACCTAGTTCCTGTGAGACAGATTGCAAAAGCCTCAGTCAAGGAAAAATGTCACCAATTCTTGATGTGGTACTTTCACCACACTTGGCTTAAGTGTATAAAAAGGGAAGTCCATCCCTTAGGATACACAGCAGGTTAGGGATTTGTGAATACATCCTGATTATTAAATCCCAGTCTCCACCAATATGAATCTACAATTCCTCAATCACATGACAGCATGTGTAGTTGATTGAGTCTGAACAAGAGAGAATGGTCAGCTGTCAGCATAATTTCCCATTAAAAAAAAAAAAGCACCTTCAAGAAGCCAGACTCTGGACACAGTATGAAAGAACACGTTTAAGAATGGTAGCCATCAATATAAGAAAAAAATATAGGATACAGAACCATTACTTAATTAAATGTATTGCTAACTGGTACTGGTTAAATAGCTGTTGAGGTGATAAAAACCCAGGAGCAGGACTTTGGCACTAAATTTGGTAGATAAACCCAAGGTTCAGTTAATAAGAGGAGATCTGGAAAAGTATGCTAGATGGTGGCAGCTTGAAAGTTCTCAGATTTTATTAGCATGTGTGTGCTCCTCTCCCTTCTCTTCCCTCCCATTAATAGGCTATCCACATTCCAAGATTTACATAAAAACTCTTTTACCCTTATTCATACACAAATATTATGAGATCAAAAGGTTTTTGTTGACCCAAACTAAGCCTGAGTTGGATGTAGAGGAATCTTCTTAGACTGATGAGCTGATGCTCAAAAACAATCTATCTTCAAAACATCATCAACAGCAAAAGCAGCTAACTCATCCTTGGGAGAAAAAGGGCAAACTCCTGTTCTTAGTTTCAACTATGTAAATCTGAAGTAATTCTAAATGACTTCAGTGGAGTCATTCCAGATTTTTACAGACATAACCAAGAGCAGAATATCATCAAACATTTATAGACTGACGATAGACCAGAATAAAATAAATAATATTTTTATTTATACAATACTAGCACAAAGCTGACAAAAACCACAAAAAAGCTGCACAGAGAGTTTCAGTTCCAGAACTCCAGCTAAAACACCCAGATCTCAATATCTTTAGCACATAGCAGTTCTTTGCAATGCACTACAACAGCATTCATTCAAAAAGAAACAGATTACAACTGTAACACGTATTTGCCAATGTGAAGTACAGTATAGCAGAATGATTTTTAACTTGTGATTCTAAAAGTTAAGTGGACGGCATTTAATGGGGCAGTTCTGCACTGTAGATTTGAACAATGATAGTATTATAACCAATGAAGTTAACTAAATTAGCAATAGTTACAGCTTGGTTTAACAGTAAAAAGAAAAGGAGTACTTGTGGCACCTTAGAGACTAACAACCAAATTTATTTGAGCATGAGTTTTTGTGAGCTACAGCTGAATGCATCCGATGAAGTGAGCTGTAGCTCACGAAAGCTTATGCTCAAATAAATTGGTTAGTCTCTAAGGTGCCACAAGTACTCCTTTTCTTTTTGCGAATACAGACTAACACGGCTGCTACTCTGAAACCTGCCATTAGTTAACAGTATAGCTCTGTACAGAAAACTTATTTTTACAACACAACAGCACCAAGATTCTGATTGATAGCTGACTCAGCCCAGGGGCAAATGATTGCAGAATGAAATGAAAGCAATTCCTTTTGATATAATTATACACAAATACAGATGTGTATTGGAAAGACTGGAGAAGGAGGAATGGACCTTCTTACCACTGAAGCCCTGTACATCTTGCATCCTAATGCAGGGCCAATTGCTGTTTTTCATTTGTATATTTTGATTTGTAACATATGTGATTCAGAACATTCTTAAGCAGATGCTCAATATTTAAAAACAAGAAAACTCATATTTTATTGGACCAATGCCAGTAGATGACAAAAAATGAAGAATACGGGATAGTTGCATAAGCTACTATAACGGTGGACTAAGTGTATCCATGAAAAAAAACTCACACAGAATGTCTGCAATATTGTCTTATAGTACCTATGCGCACAGATTGTTCCCTATATGATAATAGTCTGTCAGTGTTGTAAATAAATATTATTTTTTGTATCAAATTAATCTGTTATAACTCCATTGACTTAAATGGAGTTTGATTTTGTTCATTTCCTTTATGTTTAAGTGCCTGACAGAGACTTTGATTTTTATTTTGATCTATTTTTTTTATTGATTCTCTCTCTGACTTCCATTCCAAGGGTCAAATATTGAGATTATAGGAGGAAAAGTTTCTCTGTGCCTGTTTCAAAGTTCAAGTCATTACAGTTAGACAAGCATCTACCACTGGGGAATCTGCAGTGAGATGTTTGTCTACAGTTAAGGTATGTCTACACTGGAGCTGGAAGGATAATTTACAACTTGAGGAGATATACCCATGTTAACTCTGATTGAGCTAATGTATTAAAAATAGAAGTATAGCCACAGTGGAGTGATAGGCTAGCCACCCTGAGTACATACCTAGTGTCTTAGATGAGATCATACTCAGGGCAGCTGGCCCCTAGTTATGCATCCGGAGTGTAAGACAAGGCCATGTAATGGTATGAGGATCAATGATCTTATTGTAAAGTCCCTAAAGAAAGGAACTGTTGTGCTGTGAGTAAAACATACCATTAAAAGGTTAGACCCTTACTCTGCAAAGATTTATGTGCATGTGTGAAGTAAAGCATGTGTGTAAGTCTGTGGAATTGGGCCTTATTTAGTAATTATACTATTTTACATGATTAAACATATTTTAAAAGTGTTCTAATATTATGCAAAACACCATGAGTTTCTGTTTGGGGTAGAGGATCGTTTTTATT